GCCGCCGCTGCCGCCGCTACTGCTGTTGCTGTTGCTGCTGGTGCTGCGTATGTACACAGAAGAGGAAGTGAGTTAGCGGGTCAGTGGAACACTACACACTCGCGCGCGCGCGCGCGCGCAGACACACATACGCACGGCAAAGCGAAGCGAGCATTGTTCCTTGAACTTGCCCATTCCGAAGAATGCCTCACTTTCTCGCATAAATGACCATTCTATGTGCTGCTGCTCTCTGTCGATGCCTATTTATGTGGGTGCTGCTGCCTGTCGTTCGAATTATCAAGCTATGCGACCGGGAGAATGCTACACCGGGTAGCCATGGCAAACAGGAGATTGGATACGAATTCACAGCTGTTTCGAGCCAACGGATGCTACGTGGATGCTGATGTTGTATAACTCGTTGCTGCTGGAAAAGAAAGCAAAGCTCTACCTCGTTCGTGTGTTTTGCGAAAATCATCGATCGGCATTTGTGCGAGGTGGCGTCGATCAACTTCGCCACCAATATTTCTCGTTATTTATTTGTTATTTTTGCGGACCAACGCGGAGAACTAGTTTGAGACATCTTCTGGGTGCGACTCGTATTGTCATTTATTTTACAATTTGCAAATTTGTGTCTTTCAAGCTGCATGTGAATTTCAACGATTTTTCATTTTACTCGAATCGACTTTTAAAATATGACTTGCCGAGCTTTACTTGGCTCTTGGGTTCAAGTATTTTATGTCTGTTATTTTATTTATTATTTCTTTTAACACTTGTTTTACCATTGTTCTTTTTGTATTCCATTAAAAAATTTACTGCGTAATCTACACCGCATAAAAACTATAAAACCAATCATAAAATGTGTTCCTAAACAATTATTTACAATGTCTTTAGTTAGTCATCGAGCAGCATTGATGACAAAAAAATACAACTAAAGAGCTTAAACAAGTACCTCGAGTTTACAGTTAAATATAAAGCACTATTAATTATTTTCTCTCGCGTATTTCTCTACGTATAAGCGTAGACGTTACACCCTTTACCACGTGGTCACACGGCGTATTGCAACATCCAAGATTATTTAAAAGTATTAAAATTGTAAAGATTATTTTAAAGTAGAATTATTGAAAAATATTTAAAAAAGGAGGAAAATCTAATAGGTGTACGACGGGGCCGTAAATAGTTTTAGATAACGTAGAAGTGAAACTTGTCATGCAATACTGCATCATGGTATACAATGTATGCGAACGCATTAGTGCGTACTTCTCTCCGGTTAAAACAAAATGTTTTCCTCATAATTGTCCAATCCACTCTGTAACGTCTCAAGATTACCGTAATCTATATTTTCAAACGATTGTAGTACGTGATTTGATTTCGTAAACGGGATTTGAGCTACTGCGTGAATAAAATATGACGAGCGCACGATTCTATTTCCTTTTGTCGTTGACGACAAGCTGTATCGCCAACATAAATGTACTGTCGTTCTAAGTCGCGCTCGACAATCGGCCCGAAGACGCGCCGATTGATCGGCAACGGAAAATGAGCTGAATTTGTATTTCCGAAACTATCCTTGTTTCTCCACACTGCGGGCGATTGTGCAAATTGAAACGGGCAGCAATCGATTCAGTTCGATCTCATTGCCTAGCACTGTGTGTCGAATCGAACGAGCACCTTTGCTCATATTGTTGTCACTTGACCGATTGAATGGCGCAAGGGTGCAACGAACTTCTCGCAGACGGCAAAAAGCAATCGGATTATCAAACGGAATTGAATAAAAAAAGAGCCTTTAGTAATAGCTGAATTTTATAGTTCATTGATTCGAACGTATAAAATTGCTTCGATTGTTTTGCAAGCTCAACTAGTGCAAACTATAAGAGCTTCTGAACGTGAGCATCGTATAAGTATTACATAAAACTCTTTCAACATGTTTAGCTGCGATGTTGATAATATCAAAAGTTAATGTTTACCTGAAAACAGCTTACCAAGGTCGATCCATTGGACGAACAATTTATTTTACTTCATTATTAATTACTAGTTGTTGTTGAGATTTAATCGAATACTATTTTCAGCTTAAAAACATTTTAAGACTTTTTAAATTTCGCGAAAGACCCGAAAGATCACAGAAAATGTCTTTTCTAATCTTTCATGAAACTTTCAAGCGAAGAATCCCCTGAGATATTAGTACTTTTGTTCTTATATATGAGTATTTTTTTAATAATGATTTCATTACGGTTCGCAAGATAATCAAAATTTCATAACTTTGACCATGAGCAAGAGTCTATTACATCTAACGGAATTGATATCCATATTTGCGTCATAAGTTTGACGTACGCGTTTCGATCTACGCGTGCCATTACAATTAGAAGCTCACGTTTCATTATCCCTGACAGTGTGAAGCGTGCTTAAACAGCATTTGACCGAGACGAATACCGAACGAGACCACGATAACTCAAAAATATAATCTCCTCCGACGGCGTTTTTTTTTTTTTTTTTTTGGCTCGATTTGGTCGCGTCACCGTAAAGGAGGCCGTCACCACGAGCGCGCGCTCTGATACTTTTTTGTAGCTTTTTTTTTTTATTTTCACTTGGCCCGGTTCACAGCTCGAATACGTGATGCAGAACGCTGTCGCCGCGCGCGGCAGCCGAAAAATCGGAATGTAGTCATTATAAACTTTTCGGCTTGAGTGAAAAGTATCCGAAAGCTATTTCTCATTAAAGTTTATTTATGGAATAATCTAGAAACACTGGTAATATTATTTTTCGCCTCATGCTTATTGGACTTAACTAGCGCGAATGTTACGTGTCGACCGCTTGAGTTGGCGCAAAAAAAATCAGTATAATGTACTTATTCAACATCGGTGCTCATGTGATCAAGTTTTTATAAATTTAATGATAAAAGCATATAATACAGAGAAAATCCAATTATTACATTACAGTCTAGCAGAAGAAAAAAACCATTACCGCATTCGCGTAACGTTTTTAACATTGCAAATAAACAAACGAAAAAAAAGTTATAAACGTAACCTTGCGAAAATCCTTATCCTCCGTGCCATTCTAAACGATCACTGCAAAATAGCATAAAAACAACACTATAAGTACGGGGTCAAGTAGATTATCATCGCACAAATGATACAGTTTCGTCCTTTATGTTACATGAATACGATTATTTGTCGAGTCTGTGTACTACATGTACATTACGATCGCGGCGCATGAAATGGAAGAAAAAAAGAAAGAAAAATACAACACGCGCAGTCGGGCGCGTCGAAGCATACATTTTTCATAGTTGCGCGCGCATTTGTTAGTTACCAACTCTTTTATCTCTCGCCGCTTTTTCCCGCGAATAGCGTAAAAAGTTGTATCTTGGAAAAACTTAATGCTCGAGCAGCAGTAATGAGCGAGACGAGTTCACGAAGAAAATTCGTGGTTTATGATTTTTTATTGAGAGAAACAGGGAGGGGGGAGGAGCGATTGTGATTACCGAAGAAATTATTAATCTAATATTTTATAAAACATTTTCAACAACTCAAATGCAACGCGTGTAAATAAACCCCGTCAGCTGTAGAAAGTTTTGCACGAAAATAAAATTTTTCAAATTTTCACGGAACTACGCGCGCATGCGTAATTAATTGTAATTTACCTAACGCAGCTTCTCTATACATCAGAGTTCCTCAACGCCTGCAGATAATTTATCGCCGATGCACGGCAATATATTTTGGTCGTTCCGAAAAAATCCAATTTGCAAATGAAACGAATGAGGCTCAACTTGTTGCCAATTCACATGACTTCCCATCATTTAGTAAGTCGATGAGGAATTCGAATAAAAACCACTGGCAAGAGTCTCGAAGAGTGAAAGTTTATCATAATTTCAAATCCCGTAACAAATACTTACCGAGCGTAAAACCCAAACGCGAAAATAACATAAAAGTGTGTGTCTGTGTGTGTGTGTGTGTGTGTAATAAAACAGTGATATATAAATAAATTCACGTAGCCGTTTTTGCGCAACTTATTCGTGTACGTTGGAAAATCAACGTGTTCGCCCAAAACTAAAAAGAACATATTTGAAGTGTGAATCACGCGAAACCTAGACAGGCGTTCTAATGAAGAGGCTAACAGTAAAGTCAGGATTATAACCAAACTCGCTAAGTACCTCCAAGTAAAGTGCCATACACGCAGGCATAGAGCGACGACGACTATTCAAACGTAGCTGCCCTACAACTCCAAATTCGAGCCTGTCAATTTGTAGGTGCCCTACTGACACTCGACATGAGCCCGTCCCGTAGGTCTCAAATCATTTCTTTCCTTTTGTTCGCAGCCGCGCGTAATCAACCTCGTTATTACAAGAGTGCAGATAAAAAAAAGAGAAAAATAAAGAGGCGGCGATTTTCGTTGTAGAGCTCGCGGGGCGTCGGATGAAACGGCTTATTGCTCCTGGTGTTTTGCCTTTGCTTTCTCTTTCAGGCGAGTGCATAGGTATGCTCTAGTTCGCGCATCACTGTATTTTTCTCTTTTTTGCCGCCGAGAAAATACGGCCCCGCACACACAGCCAAATCGTCGAGCGGTTGTATTGTAATTCCTGCGGGTTATAATCTATCCGATGCGCTCAAGAAGTTCGGCATTTCTTGGATGAAGAGAAAAGTGATGTGCTGATTAGAATGCGTAATGCATATGCGTTCGGACTTTCAGGTTCGTTGGCGCGCGTTAACATTCTTTTTCGTTGAGTTTTCGGAATACTCGACATTCCTTTTCATTTCAGCTGTACCGATAACATATCGAATAACATCTTTTTAATTTTATTTTGTTGGAATGGACGAAATACTTTATGCAGTGAAGTACAGTAGAAAAAAAGTAATTGAAAAATTTCTTCTTGTATTGAACAAGTAAAGCAGAATGAGACATACCCTATTATTGTTTGAATTGAAAATCTATTGTAAAATATTCTCGGGGTTATACATAAACTGGAATATATATATTACTTTCAGAGGTGTGTATAAATAATTTTAATGCTAAGTAATGTAAAAATAGACGATATATTTTTGAGAAATATGTATGTATAATAAAGTATAAAAAAAAATTTGTAAATGCAACACCACCCCAAGCACTAATTAAACATCGTACTACAAATAAATAAACTCGTTGGATAAACGTTAAATACCTTGTAAAATTCAGGGTTTTGAGATTTTTTCCCATTATATATCAACTCCCTGCAATTATTACGATTTGTAAGTCTACAAAAGATTCGATTGTTCATATATAATCGTTGATACGATTTTGTACGATGTACAGTTATGCGTCGTGATTAAGTAAATAATCCTCGATATTTGACTTTATTACAGAGATAAGCGTAAATATATTAATTTAAGTTATTTTTGAAAACTATAAATAAACGAAGTCTTCTGTAATGTACTGGGAAGTTTTTTTTGTACAATTGATCAATTCCTAATATGAGCATATTCGAAACGCTCTTTGTTGATAATCATTTTGAAATTTTTAAGAGTAATATCTCTTAATTTCTTGTAGAAGTGGAGTTTCCGTGAGCTCATTGATTTCAATGAAGCGTTTATTTGCACGGCTAAAATAGTAAATATCACCAGTATAGATGTCGAACCATAAAGCATGCAAGTGCAAGTCGTGCTTCTCTAAACGTTTTTTCAAAAACCCATACGAAGCGATATTTTGCAATTGCTGCAAAGTATTGATTTGAGACAATTTATCCTCGATGGCAAATTTGTTCTCGGGGTCGATGTAAGCGACAAACTTACGCATTGGCGTTTCTGCTTGGAATAATATTGGTTCGTGGAAGCCCGTGATTTCTAATTGTTGAAACTTTGCAAGACTACTACTCGCGTGCGCACACAACCAAGCTCGCAGTGGTGATATTCTCCGGTTCACCTGAAATTTAAGAAAACTACCATAAGTGAAAATAATTTGCAACATGTATATTTGATACTGTGTAATAAATTTAATTTATTAGATACATGTGTATGTAAAGGAATCGTTTTCTTATCGACTTTGTTTATTTGTTAAATTTTCTTATTACTATTCTTTTTTTTATTACCACATTAAATTTATGAAAAACTGTTCAAATATGTACTTGACTTTTTACCTAATTTTAAATTGTAGATTCTTTTATAATTATGCTTATGTTACATACTTTATACAATTGACAATAGTTTCCAATTTATAGTGATAAATTGATAACAATGTCAAAAATTGTTCTAATAAAATCAGCGGATTACAAAATAATAAAATTATACTATAAATAAAGAAATATTATGGTAATCTTACTTGAGACGCAAATTCTTCATCTCTTAAAGCGTATAATAAATTCATGGCTTTGCAATCACTGTGTCCACAAACAATCACATGCCTAATATCATTGACAACACAGCCCAGTTCCAGAGCAGCAGGTTCACACATTGTAAGTTCATCAATGAAATGATTAGAGTTAGGAACTAAATTACCTGCATTTCTAACTGCAAATCAAACATCAAATAAGTCAAGGTAAAATGTTGTGTCACTGTATTTTCTTGAAAGTGTATACAAATGATTTGATTAATAATGCGGACCTGCGAGGTTTTTACTGTATAGGATAATCAAGATGCTAAGGAATTGACGGATGAAATGTTGTTTTCTGGAGATACTCTAAACCGAAAAATGAGATTGAAATAAGATGTGAGCATGATAATGGCCAAGTGTGAGTTAATCATACCAACAAACATGTCTCCAACATTTGTTTCCGTAAATCTAGTGGGTATCATCCGAGAGTCCATGCAAGTGAAGAACACTGCCTTGGGCTATGAAATAAAAACACATATATTTGAAGTCAGATATATCATATTCTCTTCTTTCTCAACAATAAAAAATGTGAACATATGATAAAATGCAAACTTTATGTATAGAATTTATTAATTACCTCAGGATGATCCCTAACTTGCTGAAACTGTTTTACCATTCCTTCTCTATGACATTTTCGGTACTTCATCACTCCCTTGAGAATCCTATCCATGTTTTCTTCAATCGTGCAATGCTTTCCATTCAGTGCTTTTATAGCATGACGTGACGCGTTATTGCCTTGCCACTTTTCGTGTATGTAAGTATGCTTTTAACAAAACACATCACGGGATTGAGAGGTGGGACCTATCACATGACATCATGATAAGGCGTTAAAGTGAACCAATCAGATAACGCGCGGGATCTTCGAATTTGGCAAATGAGATAATACAAACACAGACGAGTATAAGTTTTAAAAATTTTCGGTTCAGTATATTTCAAATAATTCCATTATAATATGTAAAAATCTTCAAAGATCAGCGTATTCATGTATGTATGTACACTCATGATAATTAAATTAACATATACACTTTTTTAAGTTCCAATACAACATACAGAAGGCAATTAAAATCTTATCTCGCAGTTATTGAAACACGTTACAGTGTGTCCTTGATAAAAACAACGGAGGTAAAAAGGAGAGAAAACGAGTATGTATCTCGTTTTCTTGTCCATCGATGTACGGTCATATATGTACCGACGATCCCACAGTTCAATCTCGCGTGATAAAATGACCGCGACTGGTTGATGTTCGCCTACTTGGCGGCATTGACTTCTATCTACTTAAAGACGAATTCTGACTCGCTCTTTCCAGCTTCTCAAAGTGCTTGCGGGCATTACGGATGTTGATCAGCGTCGCTGCAGATGCTATATAATATACAAATTTACTTATTATTTAATAGCATTGCAAAATTGTTTTTGTAACGAAAGATATTTTTGTACTTACGTATGGTAGGGTCAGATACAACAACCATAACATACGTGTTCGATGTAAAAACGTCAATAAAAGCCGCGAAATTTGTGTTTCTTACTTCCATACTAGAGAATTGAGCTGCTAATTTACTGTAAATAATAAATTTGTACATCGTTTATCGATTTTTTTTCCAAAATAATTTATATGTTACTAACCTGCAACTCAGCTTGAACTGCTTGATTATGTTAGAAACTTTCTCAAAACGATGAACATCTCTATGGTACCTTCTCTGACAATGACTTATAACAAGGAATGTGGCACGCTCAAAGAGGAGAACTTCATCAGCATCAATAATATTGGCAAATTGATTTAAACTCTGCTCGAGCTCTTTAACATTGGGAATTAACATGTAAACTATAGAAGACCATGCTCTGAAATGTGAAACATTATAATCATAAACTTACTATTCATATAATTTTGAATGAATTTAATTTTGTTTTGCTCTACCTGTACAAAGTTTCATCCCATATACTTGTCCTGAAGCAGGTGCATTGTAATGGTTTGCTTAGTCTTCTCAAATCCTCTTCTCGTTCCCTGAAAATGGAGTCCCTTTGATCTTCTTGCACTAAATCCATTTTGTGGATGAGACAGAATACTTTTGCATCTGGACTGTTTTGTAAAATAGCCTCCAAGCAGCTTTGGTAATAATGCATGTCTTTGTCAAGTTCACGAGATTCAACGTCAAATACATAAATGAGCACTTCTACATTTCTAAAAATATTGTCCCGCTGTGATGCAAAATAATTTTCCATGAAGGCTTCTTGTCCACCGCAGTCCCAGAGATTGAGGACCAAATTTCCAAGGAAGCGAACATGACTGTGCTCAACGTCAACTAAGAATAAAAAAAATGTGTACCACAATTATTATAAAACATTACATTTTGAATGAAACTAATAAAATTGGAAACCAGCTCTTACTTGTTGCTCCTAAACGACGAGTATCTCTTGCAATATAATTGGCAAAGATAATACTTCGCATACTTGTCTTTCCCGAGCCACTTTTGCCCATCAATAGTACCTAAATGTTACGGATTATTAGTATAATTTATGGCTTAACAATAAAATAACAAAAAAGTAGGCGTGCTATGTGAAATATGAGGTTCGTTTTACCTTCTTTTTCATTTTGCCCTTAAAAATTTGTTTTTTCAGCTAACAAACTTAAGCCCACTTGATGAAAAGTGAAGGGAAACACCCTCTGACAATTATTTCTCACACTACTGTTGCACAAAACGTAAACAAAAGAAAAGGTTTGGCGTGCAAGAAAAAGAGGTTATCCACTCAACCGAACGTCAAAGTGAAACAATGTCGTAAAAAAAGAAAAAGTAAGGTACTTTTTTCGATGGTCACTTGTGAATATGCGAGTAACGACCTCGATCGCGAGATGTAGATGACTGCGTCGTATAAAGTGTAACCTCTAAAACGTGATGGAGTCGCGGAAAATACACTTTACCATATAGCCAATCAATTAAAGAAGTTTGATAGTGTCGCGTGCGTCAAATTTGTTTCATTTCCTTTCACACTTATTTATCGTTCTTCGCAGCTGCATTATTTGGTGTAAATACGCGTATTGTTGTCGCTCGATCGATAAGAGGAAATAAAATAAGTACAAAACCTTTAGCGTTAATGTATGCAAAGTTGAAATCAGTTTTATACCATTCAACTCAATTACGAGGATTAATATAAATTAAAGGCATAAATTACAATAATTTTAAAAAGTAAGTACAATTCTTTTTTTATTATAAATGTTTCAATACACAGACAAATTCTATTTAAAATAAAGATTGTATACCGATGATTAATTTTATTTTAGCTTATAAAATTAAATCTTAAGAATGGTGACGACAGCAACAAGTTATTGTGATAAAACATACTATTTTATAAAAAATGTTAGTAGCATTTCAAATAAAAGTGTCAATCAAATATTTAATTAATTTTCTATTTCCCTGTTTGAAATAAGTTTTTCTAGTCTAGTTATCCAATTTAAATCTTTGTATTTACAACTCTTAAAGAATATAAAAATGAATCTCAAAAAAAAATTGAGAAATTATAAGATATTGCAAGAAAAAAAGACAAATTACAAAAAACATTTGTCAATTATTAATTGTTGTAAAGAAAACTACTATTTGTATTAGTTACAAAAATTGTAATAAATAATGGAATTCACAGAGAACTACTAAGTTTTGTTGTGGTTTAGTTTGATGCAGGTCCAATATGGAGAATAGAATCAAAACTTATTCTTCTATAAACTAGTTATCGTCCTTCAACTGTAATAAAAAATTAGAAACGTTATTTCTTGAAAAAGATTTCAAAATACAATTTGATGCTTTTTTAAGAAAAATGATACTCACTGTATGAAGCTAAGTCAATTTCTTCAGGAAGTTCCGTAATGTTGACATCGAATCTCTCTTGTACGTCGTTCAAAATTTTAGCATCACCTTCGTCGCTAACAAAAGTTATAGCCAATCCCTAAAATATTAAAAAAATTATTAAATTACATTTTTTTAATGAATATTAAACCTTGCGAAGAACATGAAATATATTTACCTTTGTACCAAAACGTCCAGCACGAGCTACTCTATGGAGATAAGTGTCCGAATTCTCCGGCATATCGTAATTAAAGACGATATTTACTCGTTCAATATCCATACCACGACCAAAGAGATTAGTAGCTACCAAAATGCGCTACAAAATTACAATATTCTTATCAATGACAAGTGAAGCTAAGAAAAATAATTTTTTTCGTCAAATGATAATGGCTTGTATTTACCTGTTGAAAATCCTTGAATGACTGATACCTTGTCAATCGCTCTTCTTGTGTCATGCCCCTGTGGATACCAATCGCCGGAAAATTTTGTTCAGTCAGGAGTTGTGCCAAAGCCATGCATCTTTGTACTGATTTCACGAAAATAACAACCTACAAATAAGTAAAATTAGTAAAACTATATACTATACATTTAAAATCAAACCTGTTTGCATTTTCACTTACTTGATTAAACTCAAGAACATCCAAAAGTTCAAAAAGTTTTTTGTTTTTTTCATTTTCCTTAAGCTTGACATAATGTTGTTGTAAACCATGCAGAGTGAGTTTGGCTTCGTCATCTACATAAACTTCCATAGGCTGTGAAAAGAGAAAAAAGTAAACGAAAGGGATAATTAATAATCTATCAAGTGAATTTAGGACAAGGAATATACAAGATATAGTGTTTTCATATAGACAAACATTAAATCATTACACAATGAATATGGCACAAAAGTCAGAGTTGATTTAAAGATTCAACATGATCAATATAACTTTTGAACCTTACAATGTGTCATTGAAAAGAAACAATTCATTCATCAGTTGATGCTTAATTCACATTGTACACAAAAATTGACACAATTACAGCTAAACTTTACAAATTTAAACATTAATTGTGAAATATCTTTTTTTCTCGTCCTCAAGTGTATTGTTTTCATCAGTGATTTACATACTGTTTGGTGAATTCCACCTCCTAGCAACACCAATAACAAGAAATCTGGTCGCCTCGACACACCTTAGGTGGTATACCCAGGAATGCTCAGCTACATCTTTGTCTTGTCAATGGCAAACATTTCACTCATGTTTTTCTCAATACTTCAAAATTGCTCAGCATCCATTACGAATGTTGACAGGGAATTACACCACATGTACCATTTGCATTATTCTACAGATTTTTTAGCAATCCCTGTTTAATTGGATATTATTGTTTACCAAAATATCCATTAACTCAACTTCATACTTTTGCGAACTCATTGTCACAAAGCTTACTATATGCCAAAGCCTTCCATGCCATAAAAAAAAAATTAGCTCTTTTAATTAATTTGATAAAGCCTATCAATTTCAAGATTGAATGATATGATTGGATCGCGAAATAATTTTTCCCCGGTAATCCTCTTGAATCTTCTTTCTTGAACTCTTCTTTCTTCAGGAAGTCTTGAAAATGTTCTGCGATGAACCCACCCCTCATACGAAAACGACGTAACTTAAATCCAACCCTTTGACAGAACTAGTACTATTTTTGTTAAGACCTTCATAGATGTATGTAAATGAAAAGTTTCGACTCAAAATCAAAGTACAAATAATACGGATCCCTAACGATTTTTAGATGGTGCGAGTATTTGGGATTCGAAATCAATTTTTAAGGAAGGCATGGTAAGGCATGAACGGCATGTAGAAACACGTTTGATCAGAGCACGACTTAAACTCTGATTATATCTGCGGGAGCTAAACTCATCGACTGAATCAGACTTCAATATGTCTTCTCTTTGTTTATAATCTACCCCACCCCCCGGATGTTCTTAAATCGACTTTTAGGGCCGAAGGCGAAATTAAAGGCGAAAGTGTAGTCATCACATCTTACATCTTGCATAAATTTCTTGCAGACTGGGCGAATGTCCTTCGACAATGTTGCAGAGAACATCATAACTTGTTTACCATGGGGGGTACTGCGGAAAATTTCCTGCACATCTTTCCGCATATCTGAAAACAAACAATAATAAATAAATATATTCGTTTATTTTGTAAATAAATTTTTGGAAAAGAATGGGAAAATAAGTCATTCTAGAAATAAAAAATACCTAATTGCTCCAGCATTTTGTCACATTCATCAAGAATGAAGTGTTTCAAATGCTTCAGGTTGAGTTTCTTGTTCTTTATCAGAGCCAAAATACGACCAGGTGTACCCACAACTATATGTGGACATGTACTTTTCAATACCTCTTCGTCTTTTTGGATTGGCAGTCCACCAAAGAATACTGATACCTATAACATAGAAGATATTTAATTAGTAAAAATTAAAAAAAAAATGAAAGTACATTTTATGTTTTAATTAAGGATTTGTCAGTAGTGGGTAGTGGTAAAATGAGTGTCATCATCTTTGGCTAAGATAAGTGAAACATCATTCAAATCCTTATTACACATATGAAAAATAAACTTTGTTTCCTAGTAATAATTTACCTTGACTTGAGGCATGTATTTGCTGAACCGTTCATATTCCTTGCTGATTTGAAAAGCCAATTCTCTGGTATGACACATGACAAGAACATAAACCTGGTTCTCTGCCAATTCCAGTTGCTGCAAAGTCGCTAAGACGAATACAGCTGTCTTTCCCATACCAGATTTAGCTTGGCAAAGGATATCCATACCAAGAACAGCTTGGGGAATGCATTCATGTTGAACTGTAAATAGAAGAAACATTTATATATAGTAATGACAAATATATTGTTTAAATTATTTTTATTTATTTCAACAATCAGGATAGATATATGCAATCACTGGTAATCAGTTGTCCCTATCTATTTATATCATCAGAGATTTTAAAACTATAAAGGAAGAAACTCAAAGGGTTAAATCTTAAGGGATAGATGGAAGAGCTGATACAAAAAAAATGCAATAGGTAAAATTAATTGTACATAAAAATATTAGACAGAATTTAAAAGTACAAAGGTCAGGCAGTCTTGAAGAAGGAAAGAGAGCTATAGGTAAAAGGAATTACAGGGAAGCAATTAAAGAAAACTGTACAAAATGTTATCATTATTAATATATACCATAAAAATGATAAATAAACGAATAAATATAACTTTATATCTTATAAAAAAATTTAGTAACCTGATTATATAATCGAAACTTACCTTCGGAAGGATGTTCAAAACCACAGTCTACAATGGCTCGAAGGATCTCTGGCTTAAGCAAGAAATCTCTGAAGCCACTGCTGTGAATAGATACATAAGTACCCTTGACTTCCTTCTTTGCTGGAACAACTTCTCCATTTCCCTCGACGACCTGCTCAGTCTGTTCCTCATCCTCGTAGTCCAAAAGATCATCATTGTCTGCCATTGTAGTTGGTTTGAGAATTTAGGAATTAGAGCGTAGAAAATGAATTAGATCTGTAAATAAAATAATTTATTAACATTCTATTTGTATTGCATAAGAATCATGATCATGACAACAATTCCTCAATTCCGGAAAAATTTCTTTTACGACTCTCCGTATGCGAGGACTCGATTTACGCAAGCGTACTCAGACCTTGTTTCGCAGACGTACGGAAATAGTACTTTTAGTTCTAATACGAAAAAGTGAATACATCCGTGCATCGTTCGGGTGTAAACGTTCGCATAAGGTTACCATACAAAATATGATTATCTTATTTTAAATTAAATTTTAAATAAAATGCTGAACGTGCACAAGAATACACGCCACTCGCAACAATGCGTCTCTATAGAGAAGCAACCATCTTCGACTTTATTGAAACACGTATGTCACAATTGCATATTAATTCAATTAACAACCAAATTGTAAAAAAATTAAATTTCCAGAGAAAAAACACGATCGTATGAAATTTTCTTCGTCGAAAAAAAAACTAAGAAAATAACTGCGTGACTCAGTTTGCCTCCATCATGGCGTCGTTTCACACACCGGACGCCCGCCACTAGTTTATTTTCACCTTTGTACATTACAACGTACGTATTTCAAGTAAATTATACAATAAACCGATAATTCAGATTTATTTATATAGCAAAATACCGGAAAATCAGAGGTAATGTAATGTTACAAATAAATCAAAGAGCTAAAACGAAGACCACGGCACACTCACCTCGACGATCCAACGACGACTGCGAGAGAATCTTGTAATGCTGGACTACATAGCCGGAACGCCGGAAGCCCCAACGTACAAACGCCGGCGGCACTCGGCAGTCACGCCAAGCCGGTCGAAATAGAGAGCGCTGTTAGCGGATGGATACTACAGTAGTCAAATTCATACTCAAGGCTAGTCAAATTCAAACTTTGCGCGGGACATAAAAAGTTGGCGAAGATGATGATATATAAATGTTAAATTATAGGTGACTCCACGCTACAGTTGTCAAACTTTCATAAAAATACTTTGACTCTTATGCCATTTGTTGTGGATATAAGTGTATATAGCATTGTTTCAATATATAAATCTCTTTTTATTTCGTCATGTATGAAAGATACATACTTATTATTTAATATCTTAAATTTAAACATACATGCTTTATCTAAAATACATCATAGTTCATTACATAGGCATGTATCTATAATATCATAGCTCATTATATAATAAATGAAATTATATAGTAAGATCTGGCAGTAAAACATTATCATCGTAAACACAAATTAACTTGTGCTTATAATACGCTTGGGGCAAGTACAAAATTATTGCAAAATTATAAATCGGCAGTACACCAAAGAAAAAATTTGGTTGCCAATTTCACTATCCAACGCATGTATATAATATAATTCAACATGATGAATCAGAAATATTCCATAAAGGAATGTCAATGTAACAATCAACGAGGCACTGTTACCTACGTTTCATCGTGAAAAAATTGGCATGATTGATAATTTTTTGCTTAACAAGGTTTACAACAAGAAACCGCGAAATTCTCATCGTCAACGATCCTGTATTGATAATTTTTGTAGGTGGTGAAGTCCTGCTGGCGCATTTGATTGCTGTAGTCGTAGATTTTCTTTACCACCGGTCTGAAGCCTGGACAACCAGCTGCTTTCGCCAACTCTTCGTAGTACGCCCATTGTCGATCGCACATCTTGTTTATGTGCCTCAACTGTGCGTGAAAAAAAATGATATATGTGTAAATTAATTAAATAATAATAATAAAAATTCCGTACGCGATATCGATGAATACTTTTTTATCGTCGCAAGGCAATTACAAGTTTGGTAAGAGTGTAAGTGTGTGTTGAATAAACAAGATCGGACACGTAATTGTATTGACTTCATTCAGGATTCACGAATTCGGAATTTTTAAATAAATATTCCTTGAAAAATGAAATCTTTTGTACATGAACACTCACAGCGATACATTGGTCAAGTAACATCTGTTTCTCTTTTTCGTACTCCTCTCGCATTTGGTTCGACGATGGGAGTTTGATTTTTCCTTCCATAATGCCTAAAATGTATTGCGCTTGTATGTGGAACATCGGGAAGGGAATAACGATTGCAGGTAGACCCATGAAGAATAGATTTTTCCAATCCATATGGATAAGGTGTTTGTAGATTGGTTCAACGTGATTATCTTCCGTTCGAATTTCTACTTTTAGTGAGACAAAAGGGTACGTAAAGTCGTAGCCTACACAAAAAAAGTTTTTTTTAACGCACTCGAACGGAATAAGAGCCTCCAAAGACAAAATGAATTACCAGTGCAGTAAATGAGTACGTCGATTTGTGCGGATGTTTCATCTTGGAAGATGAACGTATTGCCTCTGATTTGCTCGATACCAGCTCGTTGTTCAACGTTTTTTCCCATTTTCGAGTCTAACTGCTTCGATAAATTGTGACTGAGATAAACCTGAAGCCCGTGAAAATTGAAGTTACCAACGACTTTTTAAAAAAAATATTATTATAAAAAAAATGGTTCTTACCTTCCTCGCATATTTAGTAACTTCTAAGCAGATATCAATGCCAGACCACGAAGCCCCAAGGATGCAAACATTTTTGTCGGCAAAATCTTCTGGTTTCCTATACTGATGACTGTGGAGGGTGGCACCCTTAAAACTCTCAATGCCAGGTATATGGGGTACAGTTCCAACGGTATAATGTCCGTTACATAATACAACAGCGTCGAAAATTTTCCTCGTTTCAACGCCCGTTGCCAGATCCATGTACGTCACCATCCAAATTACTTGGCCGTTGGATAATGTTTCAGGTTCGACGTGATTTACGACAGTGCCCAGCTGCAAAACAAATAAATGTTGGCTTACAAATAAAAGTCACGCCAATTAGCCGATTCGTTGATCACCTTGATGTGAGGGAGCAGATTGAAATGAGCCGTGTAGTCCAGAAGATATTTGCGTATCACGCTGTGGTGAACGAAGGACGGACCTTCCTCGTCATCGAAAGGAAAATCCGGAATCTGCATTATTTCTTTTGGCAGATTCGTTCTGTAAATTAAAGTAATGAATTTCATTATGCGAATTTCCGTAATTCGTAGTTTTTATTTATACCCTTTGTACATATTTAATGTTAACATATCGTTTATTTATCAACGAGTACAGACTAAGCAGGTATATAGTTATTAAAATAAATATATAAAATTAATTTGGACGTATGAGTAATGTAAATGAACTAAACGAATGACAATTTTTTCTTGAACAATAAAGTATATACATTTGTTATTTTATTTCAATGCTAGTATATTTTTTTATAATTCGTATCGATAATATTTTCAACAAGAACTTATACATTGTTATATTATTAATAATCAATAATCATTTTTGATTTATAAATTGAATATACACGTGAACATAGCACTTTCACTTACAAATTCATTTCAATTAGCCTAAGAAAATACGCTTAATTGAAGGTATAGCCAATCGCATATATCTTTTTGTTGACAGCAAATCATAAATTTTCGTTTCAACGAATAAAAAAAGCGCAAAATCAATTCTCACCTGAGATTCTTGTACATACTGCTGTGAACGGGCAATCCATTCTTATTCATTTCCGTTTCATCTGTATAAACCCATGTACCACCAATGTTATCAGTTTGCTCGAATAGGATTAGACTGTAAGTTTCGGGCCTGGCTACGATATGCCTCGCTACCACAAGACCAGCTACACCACCCCCGACGATCGCAATTCGCGTCTTAGTGCTGGGCATTTTTTTCTCTGTCGGAAAATTTGTCCAGATTGAAGCTTTGCGGTCTCTTCTTTACGAGCCTACTTTTACTCTGGCACCAGCTGTAAATGTGGGTATTTATTGGCTTGAGATATTAAATTCATTACAAGTCAATGATTATTTATGTCTCTCTGATTATGTTAAAATCACGACGAGTCAACTCCGCAAACGTTTGCTTTCCCGCAAAACTACAACTATCGAAGATAATTCGCAACTTTGTTGAAAATTGTATGCGATCATTATTATCTAACATGTATAATTGACAAGCACGAAAAGTATAGTGAAATTTTAATAATCTTTATCTGTGAAAAAATTATAAAATAATCGTACTCTTTGCCGACCTTATCGGTTCAGAATTATAGCGAGTTGATGTGTAAAATCGGACGAAACGAGTGGAAATCTGCTGTTTCCAGATAGATCCGGTATATGTCTCCCTCTCTAGCTACACACAGAGATAGATTTTGTCGAAAAAAAGCTTCCTTCTTCGATAAGCGCGCGCGCAGCGAGAGATCTAACTGCTCGAAAGATGATGCTGAAAGCGCGACTACTTTGAACTGGACTGAATCGCTGCGCGTGCAACAGGCTGCTTTTTCTTTCCCACCGCCATACATATGATTTCGTTACTCAATAACAACAAAAAAACTCAAGAAACACGGGCGTCGAAGAAAGGGAAAGACAAGAAGTATATTAGGGTTACCGCTGGCTCTGAAAGAGAGGGGGAAGGACGGGAAATTTCAACCATGATGAAATCTAAATGACTCATGAAGTCACTGCTTGACCAAAAGACTACGGAAGGCAGAGTAATAATTGAAATTTGAGATTACGAATAATTCAATGTTAGCTTTTGAATAATTTCTATTTTGAAATGACTCTCGGTTGCATAAAATATCACGAATCAAGCGAATAAGTAAAATTTTTAGTTCTCATTCAGATTATGGTCTATGTTTATTCAAATAAAGTATTTATTAAAATTTAATCGATTTTTAAGAATGACGGCACTTTGAATTTCGCTTTGCAAAAACAACGAGACTATAATAGATTATTTGCAATTGTCTTTAAGAAATAAAACATTTTGAAAATGTTTACTGGAATTTGAATTGTACATTCCAATGTATTACATGTATATTTAAATTAAACGTACATTTAAATATATATATATACACATTTAAATTGTTAGCTCATTAGCGTGATTGCGAAGATGTGAAAGAAGAAAGACGTAATTTATAAACTTCGGCCATGAGATATCACATGAAATACGCGTAAACCGTCTAGACGACCAAATTGCTTCATATCGCGCATCGATTTCTGATTATCTTATATTTTTACTTTGTTGTCACTCACAACATTAACACTTATCCCAACCAATTAAGCGAACGAACATACAATGTTTAAAGCTACGTTTGGTCTCATCAATGGATTTCGTCTAGAGTATCTAGAGTGTCGGTGATCTGTATGCTATTCCTAATCATTGCCATTCGTTTCGTACTCACGATAGGTTTTCATATTATACGTCATGTTGCTATAAGCGGTTAATGGGTTTTCGTCCAGCGCGCATGACTCCAAGGAAAGTTTGTAATTTGCATGCAGCTATAGGTGTCGATAAATCTCGAAGAAAATAGCTGAGCGAAAATCCCCAAAAATAAATTTAATTCATTGGTTAAAGTCGGTATCATTTATCTTGTTTTTTCATAAAAAAATTAAATTCATCTATTTAATTACTGCTTTACGGGTTTTTCTAGTAGGTTTTTCCCATGTTATAGAAAGTTGAAACGCTCCAGGTTAAGTACAACTAAATAGAAGTCAATGTTCAAAATTTACTGTTTTACATACCCTCAAAGTAAAAAAATGTCTCAAATTTGTTGCATTATAAGAAGGCATTTTGTTTTTAAATTCCGGATTGTTTTTTTCCGTAAATTAGGTAAATGTCGGTATAGCGTGGGACATTATTTTCATCGGTTTTTTCTCAAAACGGTAAGATTACAGACAATATCCGAATTTCGTACTATCTCTTGCAACAAAGCGTCAGTGTCCACCGAGCAAATACAATCTCAAAGCTTGTAACACGTCAAGAAAGATCATCGTCAATTGCACAGCACCAAAATACTCTTGGAAAAATATAGAGTGCGTCGCTAGTGACGCGATGAAGCTTCTTTTTTTTGAGTGCGCGACGCTTGTACAAACGTAGACACCCTCGGGAAGGCCTTTTCATCATCTCAAGTGTTCCGCGTGTCCGTGCATTCGTTTAATTAGTTGGTACGCGAGTCCACTAAGACGCTGTTGAAAAGTCGTCAAAAGAAAAAAAATGAGATGCCATCTTCGCTATAGTTTGGATTTGTATATAGGCGTGTGTCTGTGCCTGTATTACACATTTTCCTTAATTGGAAATGTTGCATAGTTTTGCTTTCTAACAGAGAGAGCTTTGCGATAGTAACAATTTTCGATTTCGTCAAATCAATGTTTTTCTACGTTTTCGAGGTCGCTGATTACGAAAATGATGCTTTTCGAAAGTATCCGGATTCCGAAAATTATGTGTGCGTATACATGTGTGTGTCTATGTGCCCTATTGTCAACCTCTCAATTCGTGATTGCTTCGTTTGACCGGTTCTAACTATAATTATGAAACTTTATAATTATATCTAGCCTTCCGAAACCTGTTAGTGATTCAATTTTGAATTCATTTGGTTAATATTATAAAAAATTTTAATAATTTTTAGTTTCGTAGATATTTTTCTTATTTTTTCAATTTCAGTAATATTGATTGCGTCCTATTGTTTCGAGCTACCATTATGGAACTTTACCATTAGATTTGGTCGATTTTTATAAATTATTATAAATATTTATTTTTTCCATTCAACATGTAATGTGGTTATAAAAATGTCATTATATAACAGCAATATGTTATATTGTTTTATTAAATCTTTAAAACTTTAAATTTTATTTCATATCACAAACTTAACAGTTTTCAATATTATTCTCCTTGATTGAAGTTCATTTATAATATGTATAAGATCATCAGAATAAAATTTATTATTCAACGCTTTGGCACGTTTTTCAAGAAAGCATGTCACTAAATCCATTAGTGACAAATTACATGGCTTGGTATTCCAAACTTAAAAAAATTAGTGGAAAAAACGACGATTAGATCTCCGTTATTTGTTCTCGCTATCACGAATATAGTTGATCCGAATTTTGTAATGTCTGTTTGTCTTTTTGTTATAACCTACATACTTATCGCTAAAGATGGCTGCGTCATCTGTCAAAATTTTTAATCGAGCGCAGATAATGTAAGCTCATCACGTTTTTGTATATTCGTTGAAAATTAAAAAGAAAAATGACATAAAAAAAGAAACGTAAAAACGTATTTTTTTTCCAATGAATGATACACGTCGTGAAAAGTTTAACGCTCCGACCTGAAAATAGAAGCGAGCAAGCTGCTCTCTCGTGTATCATTTAGCGTCTGCTGAAGCAGGACTGAAAGTAGGCTATTCCGTCGTGGTCTCGGGCAATTAGTAATCTAAAGCGCCTCTCTTGCATTTTTAAAGTCGTCTAACAAGCCAGAATCACAGCTAAAAAGACAATTTTCATTTTTCACTTCGATTACGTAGTTCAAACTGGTTATCTTTCAAGAACATTACCGTAAAAACGTGTTACTGCGTCAACTGGTTTTGCAGTTTCAATCTCTCGTGCAAAGCGAACGTATTCAGCATTTTCTTGCAGTTATATCTGGCGTATAAAAGTTAGTAGCTGGCGCGTGCCGTTTTGTAAACAAAGCATAAGATTACACGCGTTCGAATATTAATTTTTAAACTTAATGTTTGTCATTTTTTCCGTTTGAAAACCGATGCAAGTTAACTTTATAGATACTTTTGAACGTTAAATTTTTAGAGAGAGATATAAAGTAAAGGAAATTAAACTCTGTTAATTTGTAAATAGAATTATGACTGCAAATAAGTTTGAATGAACATTGAAAGTATCTTTATATATTTTGCAATGTATGCTAATGAATTTATAAGTATTGCATCTTAGAACATATCGTGAACGCATAATAGCTGAACGCACATCTTGGAGATATTAGTCTAAAGCTCGCCGCTAATTAGATTAGACTAAGATGCTTAAATACACTGGTTACATTATTCAACTGCCCTGCATGATATTGTCTTTGTTAATTGTCCTCTTCAAAAGTACTTGCATAGAATATATCCTTTTCACGGTCACGCTTTATATTCTGTCCTCAGTGAGTCAGTTTATGTCATATTTTTGCAATCAACAATTTAAACAGATTATTTTCACAGTCAACGATTTTAACATAAAAATTGCTTCAATGTATCAGATATTTAAGTTGGCGTTATCAAAATGAATAATACTTGTTGGCGCAGTGGAAAACATTAATTATAATACGGTAAACCCATGTGTTTCAATTTAAATGTTTAATATGACGTCACCCATAAGAAATCATTGTCCCCAATTTTAAGCACTTCTAAACGTTTAAATTCAGCGACAATATATTTCTTAAGGGTCACGTCACAATTGCACACTTAAAACGTTTAAATTTAAACACATAGGATTTTAAGGTTTTGCCGTGAATTGATAAGAACTTTCCATAAAAAATTGCAACAATCAGTTTATCTTGATGAAAATCATGAAAAAAACCTCGAAATTTCATCGTGGTACAAAAGCATACGGCAATGAGCTGGTATCCGGCAATGACTTCGCATATGTATTCGTTTGCCGGCAACATTCATGACAAAAGGCCATCGGTTACTTGATACAGCGAGTAATCGAGGACTCTCACACCGTACACTACATCAAGGATATCCTTTAGAACTTTTCTTTTTATTTTCTGCAGCCTGCACGGAAAAATCTGCAATTAGTGAGCAGCTGTAAACATTTGTCTTTTCAGTGACTAGGAAAATCTTGAAGCTCACCGTGCAGTTGAGAAATTTCATTGAACTTCGGCATTCAAGTTGACAAAATAATCGCTGAACTTTGAACGAACTGGCATTATAAGATAAAGTGATTCGTCGTAACTTCTTTTTATGCATGCATCACCTGCGTGATATCTACATGCTTTCAAGTGTAGCGAATGGCAGTATGTGTTCAAATGCAGTCGAATTTAAATATCTCGAGTGAAGCGTCATTTTGTGTTTGAGTTTCTTGAAGGTTGTGTAGGCAATAATTTAGGATGAAGCGTTTCTATCGACTCTTTTTGCCGACCTTAAAAAAGAAGGAGGTTTCGTATTCGACATGATTTAATTTATTCAATCGATTCTAATAGAAAAGTGCGAGCTAATGGATTAGTTCAGTTTTACTATTGGCTTTATTATGGATAAATTAATCGTCTTTCTTTGTGCCTCTCTTTGTGCCAGACTGAGTTGCAATAGGAAGAGACACGTTATGTATACGGGTAGAGCTGGCCTGTCGTTAATCTCTGTTACAGAGGTTGTAAATGCACAATTGCTAGACATATTGTTAATGACCAAGTAAATGATCATTGTTTCCAGGTGCCTTACACTTATAGGTGGATGCATCATCTCTTCGAAAGCACAGCTCCTTCGAAAGCTGTAATTAATTTATATCTCTGCCGATGAATTATTTCAATTACTGTGAACACTTTTAAATCTGTTTGTAATTACTTCAGAGAGTTTGCATCATTAAGAAAACCGTCAAGCAAATTGTTTATTCTATGTGAATATAATTTTTCTATAAAGCTATTGACAATGTATTTACAAATATCACTGTTATTCCTCTTTTCTTTTAGCCAGTGCAAAAACTGTTCTAGCTCATTACTACTGTCAATTATAAGACGAAAATTTAATTAACGGAACCAGAAAGTACTTATAGATAGTTGTTGAAAATTTTATTCGAGCTGGCTTGGAAAGTTGTAAATTGATTAATTTACGTTAATAATTTAAATGAAATGGAATTCTTTAATCATATTAAAATGCAAATTTAATCTGTGGCGCTACAACCTTAAAAATACTTTTGCACCAGTATTTCACTTTGATATATATCATATATAACTTAGCATATCGTGGTATAACGTTTGAAAAAGATACATAATTTCAGAAGCATAATATGTGGGACGGAAAAGTATGAAATACTATAACGTAAGAGCTATCAGTACAGTCAAGTATTTAGAAAGCCAAAATTTGTAACAAGGCAATCATAAAATTTTATATCGATCTATTAATTGAAAGCTAATCTGGAAGTAGAGTAGCTTTCAATAATGGCTATAAAATTGTTTTTATTGCAATCTACTATCCGTAAGTATCACCGTTTTACTTTAATTTTATTTTTTATGCAGATATTTATAATCAACTTTTCCATGATTATTCATTTAGCTATTATTAGAAAATATAATTATTTAACATCAGCAACGTCTGGTTAATGAGCAGTAACAAAAATTGGTTAATAAAGATAAAAATGTAGGTAGGTTGTTAATTGAGCAGTGTACCTGCTGTTCTTGTTAGGTCACTTGCCAGATAGAGGACGCTATTTTATTAGGGGATAAGAGTGACCTTACATCTAGACATGTAGTGAACACTCTAGCAGTGAGTCCAAATTTTTTAAAAAAGCTGTTGCGCTTTTACGACTTTTGTACTCGAGATTGGAAAATATGGCGCCTCCTTAGTAAAAGTACTATTTCAGAAACATTCATTAAAGAATTGCCAAAAATGGAAGATAAGTTTATGACAAGAACAGGTCCAGTCATGATGCGTGTAAAACTTTCTCTTTCTGCACTATTTTAAAAAATTGTAGGGGAGGTGGGTCTATACTTACTCATGACTATAAGGAACCAAGACTAATATGCGTACAGGTACGAGTGTACGTGTTCTAAGTGGTCGTAGTTCTTGATGTCATAATAACAATAACAACAATATTTTTATATGTAGGAAGAATATATTGCATATTATAATATCGTATAGATGTCTATAATTTTATTTTCAGAAAAAAGCTGTTGTATAATGGTTTAATTTTTTGAGGAAATCGTTTTAAAACACTATAATTGATTTGATTAGATATTTGCTTTTCTAAAAAACTTTCTAATTGATAAGGAATGTTACATATATGTAATACTAGAGTAACAATTCAAATATAGTAGTAAGAGTATCTCACTATACACTTTTTTTATGGTTGATTAACCAAAGTTTGCTGATGTTAAATAATTATATTTTTCAATGATAACTATATGAACAATTCACAGCATTTACATTCTATATCACGTTTTTTAACACGTTCAAAGAATATGTTATTGTATATAACATATTTATGTTAAATGATAAATCCAATAATATAAAACTTTTAATTACCAAGGCTTCGTAATGTGATTTATCCAAACGTGTCAAACGTACGAAATTCTAGTCATTTCACTTCAACGTTACACCTTGTAAATTTCGTACATCTTAAATTTAGATCCAACGTCGTAAAAAAAGTCATATAGCAGTATACAATGAATTTTAATAAGTTATTTTTCTTATTACAAATTATAGTGAAATTTAAAATAAATAATAAGCATTACAAAGTATGGTCTTGAAATACGATTATATTTTCTTATTGTATTTTCTTGCATCTTGATTTCTTTAGCTCTTTCCACAAAATAGTTAATAAATGTGTCAGCCGTAATAATTGTTTAAATTTTTATGAATTTCTTCGTAGAGAGAAAAAGTTGATTTCTTTTTTCGAGCTGGAAAATTGAATAAAAACATGCGATAGCTCCAAATCAAATTATTATACACGACCCATATAGTAACTTACAGAAAAGCTTTTAAATAACTTTTTAAGGTTTCATGTATGTACTGTAGTGTGGCAATCACAGCGTCAGACGTGCAATCCAATAAACACCGTGTTGACACGGGGGGAGTGACATCGCGACGGAAGCAGAATCAATTGATCGCCTCGAGGTGTTATGGACTTTCATTTTGGTCGTCTCCTCGTCGCGATAGCAAAAAGCTGACGGCGCTCGCTCGATGTGTTGCTTAATCGCGCTTTTCTCGATGGCCTCTTCTTCATCTTCCTTTGTTGTCATTGTCGTCGTGCGATTCTCTGGTGTTCTTGATTTACGAGAGCATTGTCACGGCTGGCTGATCTTGCTTGTCAATGACCGACCAACGTCGTTGTCTTTGTGGCCATTTTGTCAGCTACAGTTGATTTTTTTTTTTCGTTGTCGACGTATTCAAGATAGAAATGATAAAATTACGATAAATAGGTTAAAAATCATGACTATGAAAATTGAAATAAATTTATGATGAATAAACGGAGTTTCGTTCATTTTGTTGGTAATCCGATTCAAAGACTATCTATTTAAAATTTGTCTTTAATAAGAAAATTTCTTTCGGGATGTCTCGTCGTCTGTGCTAGATCAGGAATGTACATATATGCATAAGAATCTTCGAGCATTGATATCTCGGTGTATCGTGCATTAATTTACACAAAATATACGATACGATGGGATATTCGATTATATTAATAATGTAGAGAGAATGGCACGTTTATCCCGTCGATTGACGCACCAGCGGTTTCTTAAAGCAAATCTTTGTTTTCGTACGAACGAGCTCTATAGAGCTGGCGCGTCTTGCGCAGCGCGCCTTGGAAGCGTGCTTTTCTCTCACGGCACCGAAAAGCCGGACGATCGCTTTCTCTCGCCGTGAAAAATTTTCGAACGTCAGCGATGAAAACACGTCACAATATAGACGCCGATGCGCGCGGTGTCTTTATTTTCGCCGTGACTCATCCTTTTACGGCCACGCAACACGAGGATATACGAGCTTATAAGATCGCATTAACAGCTGTTTAGCCGTGAAAGTAAAGCGAGCAAGAAAAAAAATATGAAACTCCGAACGACATCTTCATGAGTATCAACGGGATCAAGCAGGAATAAATGGAACGAAATTGATAGCAATGAAATAATAGTTGATTGGCCCTGGGCGTGCTGTATTCTTGCCTATCGGTCGACACAGCGATTCATCGATCCATCGCTATGTACGCGTTGTTATTGCTTCGCCACGACGAAGGTGTAATCCCTTTAGGCTATACTGTCTGGAATGCTTGAAATTACACAATATGCTTTTCGCGAGCATTTGGCTCCGCATGCGTACGATGGCTCTTATCTCGTTACGTGTTTCGCGGATTTCCTGTTACGTCGCGGATGTGTACGCGATGCTTGATTTTATTATTTACAAGCGCAATTAAAAGTTTAGCCGTTGTCATATCAATGGATCTTTCGCGATAAGCTTGAGCATGCGAGCTGTTCGAACGTTGGAATGCACGTGCAAAAGTATTCGCATTCTCTTGCATATTTTCTACAAACTACAGTTTTTTGTTACACAAACGTAATTTTGTTTATATACGAATAGAACTTTGTACATCCTCTTTCGTCACTACAAACTTGTGATAAATACTAATCAACAACTATTAATCACGCTTTGAAACAACAACGGAATCCGTAGTTCATTATAATACAATCTTCTCGGAATACTTCGCGTTATTTTTATCTAAAGTCTTTTTTGTATCCATAATGACGAAGCGATGAAGATTAACTACGTGTAATAATTAAATGTTCATTTGCAAGAATTAATTACCTCTCAATATATAAAGATTCGGTATTCATTTACAATAAAAATGTATCGATAACACGGTGCTTTTCATTTCAATGAAATCGGTTCGCTTCACGCATCGCCAACATCCGAGTCATTCCTAGATTCTCATCCTCGACTAAAAGGAAAAGAATGGTAGAAGGTGCAGATACACAAACAGATACACAATGTACATACTTCCAGATACATTTTTTGTACCCCTATAATTCTAGAAAATCTCTAGGTATATAAATAAGCATTGAATCATGAAATTCGGGTGATGCATGCGTGAATGCGTCAGAGATCAGAGAAGAGCGCTATTGGCGTAGATGTCACTGGTATCGCGGGTCTCCGTGTGTTTCGCGCTCAGAGCGCGCCGCGCGTTTGTACGTTTTCTGCTCCGTTTGGCAGTAGTTCGTTTTCTCTCGTGGTGTCGTCAGTGCGCAGGCCGCAGGCAGCTGCATCGAAGGAAAAAAGCCCTCTGCGCAAGTGTGTGCATGTGCTTTGTTTATGAGGGAGCGGCTGCTGCATGTTATACACATAGGGGGTTGCTTACAACTGTCGAAATATTATTAGCATCTAAGTGACTCGCGCGCACATCAAGAAACATCAAGCAACATGGGTAAGTCTAAGTGTGATATCTCGTTATCAATTTAGCCTTGATATTGAAGAGGTAGTTTAGTCATTGTTAGGCCTTCACGTGTGACTTTTTTCTTATCACGATTATAGCGGAGCAAATCGTTATGACACCTAAATGCAAAACTGCTAATTCTACTACTTTGATCATTGAGAGAAAAAGACAGGAGACTGTTGCTAATGGGGATCAGAAGGATGTTCATGTTGCTGGGGGTGATCATAAAGGAATTGTTATTAACAAGCAGATGACTGGTGAGATTGGATTCATGTTCCTTCAGTAGAATTGAGGTTTTCAGGCTGCGTTATTTTTTTCTTTAGCTACAAATGGAGTTGAGAAACCAGCACAATTGTCTCTCCAATTTAAAGTATTCCTTGTTAGTGCACAAAGTGGCAAGCATACACAGGAGCAGAGAACCTTGAACTTCTGGTTCAATGACAACCTGTCGACTGAAACACAGCCAACTGTAGCACAAGAATTTTTCAGAGAACTTGTGAGTCCGCAAGAGTTTCCTAGAGGTATGTTCCAAGTCATTGCCTTTCATATGAAAATTTGATTTTTCAAATTGTATCAATTTGTTATTTTCAGACTATGTTGGATTTATCAAAAAAATTATGAAACTGGTACAACATAAGTATCCTGGCATTGAACGCATTGAGATTGAATTGAAACAGATTGAAGAACCTATAGAATTGCCAATTAGGCCATGTGAGTATTTCTTTTCTTTTCTAATTTTTTTGAAGGCCAAAACAATCAGCTGTGTGAAAACTTCTTAAGGAAGATTGACTGAGGTAGAAAAGTTTCCATAACAATATTGATCAAACAGTTAAAGCAAGAAATTGAATTAGGATATATAGGTCATATGCAACATTATGAGAGATAGACATTATTGTCTCCCACAGCAAAATTTTCCTAGAATAATTTTACTATTAAAAGCTATTATTAATAATGAATATCATAAACTATTTCCATCATTATCTCTTTTCCACTCTTAAAGATAATTGATGAAACTGGTTTCTTCCGGTGTCTTCAGGCAACTTTTAATGCGGTTTTTTAGACGCGGTGACGTAATTGCACTTTCAGCGCGATCTATAGTTTAATTACTGTGCCAACTCAAATACATGTATTTGTTCATACCTTTGATTTTTTTCAGTGTCTACTGATGAGACTATTTTGGGTGGCCCGCAGATTGTTGAGCTCACTGCGGAAAAGATATTAGAATTGATCGAGTCTGCTTATCCAAATCCACTTACTATTCACGATTTAGTTGAGTAAGTATTGAATGAAAAATAAACAATACTTTCTTGAAAATTTACTTCATTATATTGTGACATGTTTTCATTGCTTATTTATGAATTCAGAAATCATGGTTGGGACGCCGACACAGTCGCAGAAAAATTATCCGAGTTACAAAAGAAAGGCTTGGTCGTTGCGATGGATAACGGTGCCTTTACCCGAGTCGTTCATCAAGATACTCAAGTCCAGGTAATTATAATGTTTATATCGCATAACGAAAAGAAAAATGAGCAAAAAATGTTTACGCTTCAACTATAATAGAGCATTGAACATTTTTTTTTGGTTCAGGTTGTCAAGCAAATGCCAACAATGGCAAGTGCAAAGCAACCGACCATAGCTATAATTACGGCTCAGTACTGCGAAAAATTGGCCGTTGACTCGATGATTGAAAACAAAGAGACGTTTGTTCGATACACTACCGTCGGTGAGTAAATTATCGATATTACATTTTTTCTTGAAATTGATCAAATTGAAAGTGATAAGTATTTTAACGAGCTAATTTCTGTTTTTATCTTTTCTTTTTTTTTCCTAACGATGTATAATCGATCTTTTGTTCTTGATAATGACGATGTATGGGGGATCCTTTCTCTTCTATTGTTATTAGGATACGAAAATGATGTAGAAAACTCGCTGACTAATTCTCTCAAAATCTCTTACACGACAATCCAACACCCACATCCGACTCGACGTATCCGTTTTGGTAAAGATTATGTGAGCGTTGAATGCGCAACAACGCGTTTTATCTTTCATAAAAGATTTGAGCTCAATCAGCTTCTTTTTATACGTGTCGTTTTCTCAACATTTATTTATTTGTGCTTATTGTTTGCACCTTTGACCGTCAGACAATGCATTTGGTTGCGAAAACTGCTTTGATTTATAGAGTTGCTAGCTACGGGATTCACGCTTATTTGTTATTTTTTGTGATGTTTTGAAAGGAGACTTGGATTTTTTCAGGCAATTAAGTTATACTTGTTTTTGTTTTCAGAGTGAAAGTAAATAGTTTTTTTTAATTGGAGCACGTAGTTGTCTTATACGTATAAACTATTTTTAGTTTTCAATGTAAGCAACTTAAGAAGTTCGTAAAAACTCGCTAACCTGACTGGTAGTCGACAGAATAAATATCACGCCAGAAAAAAAGCTTACGTAAACGAAGCTTTTTTGAGTATAGTTTGCACGTGAAACTAAAAATTAAGACACAATATTTAAACAATTATGTTCAAGCCTAATTTCATATTATGCTGCGAGCACGTAGATTTTCTTCTCTTAGAAATGTGTATGGAAAATCAATTTACTTATACTTCACAAATCAATAGAAAAGTTTATAAACTAAGTTCACTTTTTATCTCTCCATACTATCATTACATAGAAGTGGTCAAACCGCACCGCGTTGTATAGGCGTACAAAAGACCAATTAGAAAAAAGGCAGAACACAAAAGAAAGTCTCCTTTCAATTCAATCTCATAACAAGAGACAGCTCTCACCGCGCGCGTGTCATTGTCATGCTTTTGGGAATATACGCAGGAAGCTTCTGAGATGGTGAAGGGAACCCATTCATTACTAAACACGCGTGTGTTTGTGTTTTCGTTTCCCATTCCACATTTTTCCTCTCGAAAGAAATTCTATGAATCCTCTGATTTTTCCAGGCGAATCGAACGTCTACACACTCGGTGATATCGGAGCACATCGTATTGTCTGTACGAAACTACCAACGGTTGGACACACACGCGAAGCTATGACAGCAGCTGGAAATACAACAACCAGACTACTTGGTATTTTTCAAAAAGTTGATTATGTATTTCTCGTGGGTGTTGGTGGTGGTGTGCCACATTACACTGATTACAAGAAACACGTGAGACTTGGTGACGTTGTTGTTTCATATCCAACGAGATTGAATAACAAATTCGTATACATGTACTGTGAGAGTGCTAAATCTAGTGAAGATGGTAGTTATCAGTTCGAGACTAAGGAGTATTGCCCGAGTAATCTTGGACTACAAGATATCGCCGCCAATTTGAAGAAACAGGTAAGAATTGATCACGATATTCAATTTTCGATTGGTGAATGTTTAATAAGTGAGTCAGCTTGCAACATAATTTTATAAGTTTACGTAATTCATGTTCAATTCTCGAATGAAGGTAGAAATTCTTTTTCTACATAAGTCTCTCGTGGAAAAAAGTGACTATTTTTACTCGTTGTACAATTGTTTTTTTTCTCGGTAGGTTAATGCAAGCGATGGATTCAATCTACCGTGGCAGAGTCACATGCGTGAGGGTACAAAGAAACTTGCCACGCAATCCGAGCATAATTTCGAAGCACCGCCAGCCGACTCCGACAAACTATACATGAATATCGGTGAACGCGATGTCATTGAAGTTGCTCATCCAAGCGCGCCCAAGAGCGATGCCGCTTATGTGAGGTAAGTGCTTTTTTTGTCTCGTAATTTGTGAATTTTATTGTTTATTTATCGTTACCAAATTTTTTTTCTTTTAAGAAACGACGGTTGCCCACAAATTCACTTGGCTCCAGTAGCATCAGGTCGTCGTATCGCTCGCGACGATCAACTACGTCAAAAATTCGCCAGTCGTTTTGGTATCTTAGCCTTCGACGCAGAAATGGACGCTGTTGTCGACAGTATCCTCGGTAATTGTCGTGATAGCTTTGCCGTAGTACGCGGCATCTCTGATTACAAAGACGGTTCTCGTGGTAAGGAATGGCAGCCTTATGCTTCACTCGCTGCTGCCAGTGTTGTCAAAGCCATGATCTGCGCTATGGATCCGCCTTCTCCGTACAAAAAGTAAAACGTCTGTGTTCGTCGATGATAATTATAATAGTAATTAGGCTTTTGATCTGAATTCCATAGTTTTTCTTAGAAGTCGGAGTGTATTTTTTAGAGGCTATAGATACGTGATGTGATTTCGATCCATATCAAAATCTTAAGCAATAAAACAAAATAAATATCAAAACATTAGTCTTTCGATTTGGACTTTATGAATTCGATTCATATTGAAATAATCCGTACTAAAATCAGAAGACAAAAAAAGAAAAACTTGTAAAAGATTCAGATCAAAAGCTTCTATTTAAAAGTATGACAGCTGTGCTGTCAGTATAATAGCAGAGTTTCAAAAGACTTTCTCCTCTTGTTGTAGTTTCATCATGTAGATAGGTTTCGTCTTCTATTTAAGAAAATTGACATGTGAATCTAACGATCCAATCGTTGATTCGTATTTCTCTATATTTTCTTTTATACCGTGGTATAAGTTTAAAGTATTTTTTTTATTCTTTTTTAATTGATTTGTACTTTTATAATACGCCTGTGACGTTTGTTGTTTGTACTGACTTTATAATCGAAGTTTGTATTTCCGTATCAATATAAGTATGGACGTAATTGGCAAGTTCTACTGCGCGTAGGATGAATTTATGAAGTTATATATTAAAAGCGATATCACATTCATTAATTCTTGTGCGATTCATCATTTAGTAGCAGTACGTCCTTCAGTATTTCAACTGGTGCCGAATATTGCAGTCTTTTATAGAGAATGTTTTTTAAATAATAAATTATATAGTATTTATAACAGATTTTCAAGCAAAATATAATATTGTATACGCATCAACTTATCTAACTCGCAATTTTTTAATTTATATTGCACGACAAACGCTTAAACAGCAATCATCAGTCCTCGCTTCTTCGTACTTGTTGTTTTTCCGGGTTATAGCATGTGATATAATATTTAGCATTTAAATTCTAATTTCTAACTATTATAATTCAATTTATTTATTTATTGTAACGCTAATAATTTTAATGTAAGAATAACGTATGTATTTATGGTATTAAAACAAAGAAATATCGATCAGGCAATCAGTGCCAATCTACTTATAGTATAATTCATGTTTGAACGTAGCAAGGTCCACGTTACAAAGCTTCTTACGCTTTAAAAAAAATCATTTTGCTAATATTCCTATTTTGAGCTTTTGCTTGTAAACGCATAATTATACACGTCACGAACGTTCTTTGAAGAGTAATTTATATAATCAAACTTCTTCCTTGCTTCATTTATGCTAAAAACAATGTTATTAGGTTTCTTTAAATAAATGTTCAAATACAAAAATAAAATAACGTAATAATCTATATTCGGAGCGTCGACGCTTCCATCTCATTGATTAATCGAACAGATTATAATATACGATGTAGACACACGCACACAAGATTCCAAAGATTCCGTCTCCGTATAGCTATAGACCAAACCTAGGCGGATAATCAAATCTATTAACCTGTTCTCGCCCTTGAACTTCGGATCTTGTCATGCTAATCTAGTCGCTATGCCGTCGAGTATACTTTTCGCAGGCCAATTTTTTTCCATTTCCATTTTCCGTTAGTCAGTTTGGAGTTTTACGGTTAGCGCAAAAAAAGAATCGTATTCCAGAAAAAAGTAGAATAAACTCGAGATCAAAGTAACGGCGTTGGTGTGAGAAACGTGTACTCGTCGGCAATTACGGTCCATTAACCGGTAAACGTACCTTAATCAACAAGATTGTCGAACTTGAAAAGGAGAAGTGGATCAAAACGGAAAGCCGCATTTGATTACGGTCACGAGAGCTTAACTGCGGGTATAAGAGCGCGCTTCAACGCGATTCCATATAAGCTATTTTGTAGAGTACTTTCGAAGACACGTACATGATACATAATACATACATAATATATTGCTGTTACGTATTCCGACAGAAAAATGGAAAAAATATATGTATACAATTTATATTATTTATTATATAGATAAATCAAAAACGTACTTTACACTCTGAAAAATGTGTCAGAGCCGTTAAGTCCGTTCCCAAATAAACGTTTCATCAAAGCATGATAGAAGTGAGTTGTGTATTGAATTTATTTACTGCACCTTTAGTTAGAATCTGTTGTACTGCAGCAACAATATTCCGAATCATCATAATCGTCATTTGAATTAGGACAAGCATAATCTAGAAACTGCAAGATTGAAGTGGTAAAATAATTCTAGTAAATAAATTTTCTTGAAACTTACGTTGATGTCTTTAGATTCAAGTTTAGCTCGTATCATAAAGGCCTTTTGTATATATCGTATAACGAGGCTAAATAACATTTTATCGCGATCCATTTCATCTGATATATCATTCGGACGTTTGGCAATGCGTTTAGATAAATCATCATATTCTTTGGCTATCGATTGAAATTCCGATGTAAGCTTTTCAAAAGTCTTTTCTAACTCATAATTTTCCTGCTCTTGAATTTTCTTCCAATCAACGAAGTGTTTTTCGTTTGTACGACTTTTAATCATCGGTAATAATTCATTTTGAATGCAACAGTGTAATTTTTCAACCTATAATTGAATATTTTTAGTTTTTTTAGAGAATTAAAGAATTCTGTTAATAATTATTTGCCTCGATCGCTTGTTTTTTCTGAAGAATTTGCAATTTATTCCACTTCTGCATGAGTTTATCAAAAGCATTCATTAGATACTTCACTTCTGTTCTGTGCATTTTTAATTCCTCAATCAGAGTACAAGATGCTGACGAGTTGCTTTTAATTGCGTTAATAATCTGTTTCTTCTCGGATTTGCTCGGGTTGTGGCAAATTAATGAGTTTTCACTGTTGCAACTCTCAAAAAACTTATGGATCTAATAATATCACGACATTTTTTTAATGAAAGTTTAATTTTTGTTGTACGATATATTTGTTGAATTTTACCTTAAGAATTTCACAATTTACTTTGTTGATTAATTTTCTTAAACGTCGGTTACATTCTTTGGGATTATGACACTGCATAAAGATTTGAAATACTCAAATTTATTTGAAGTCAATAATGTATTTAAGCATCATGAAGCTAAAACAGTTGAGTTTTAAAACAACGATAGTAATTTGTTTAATGAAATAAAAACCGATAAATGTGTATTTTTAAAAATGGATTATTAAAATTCGATATCAACTAGTTTTTATTTTCGAAAATTTAGTAAGAAAAATAGAAATTATATATTAAGTATCATTTTCGGAACTGTGTTTAAATAATAATAATAATAATAAATTGAAATAGAATTGGATTAATTGAGGTGTGTAACAAGTGAGTGGCTATCAGAATAATTTAAGGAATAAAATTGAAGACTTAATAAAAAGGCAAATAATTTTTCCAAAAAAATGTCGCCTCCAACTTCATTTTTTTGTAATCATTCGTAAAGCCATGCTTTAATTAATTCATTGGTAAAAGGGAACCTATTCGCTATTATATATCCTTAAGCCCATTCAAATGAGTCTACCCCCATCGAAATCAAATGAACCGTTTCAAAAACATGTGCGAATATACGTAAAAAATAATTCATGTCGAATACAACTTTCTCCTTTTTCAAAATTAAAAAAAGAAGGTAGCATTTCACCGTTATAAAAAATCCTAAGCCCTTAGCTTGAAGGGAATATAGTACGTATTTCGTATTTTATACTAGTGCAAGAATTGTTTTGAAGAATTGTAGTGAATTTGTCTCTCGCGTGGCCTCTTTCTCTTCGCTTACGCTCTGCCGCAAACGTCCACTGTACCAAGCTAAAGTCGATTTCTCGCGCTAGTATCAAAATGTATGATTAAATATAAAATTATTACAATCAAAAATATTAATAAATCAAGTCGCGTAGCGTTAATTTGAAATGTGAAGACAAGTTCTTTTTAAATACTAACTTCAAGAAACGACTTACCAAAACCTGAAATTTTCGAGCGCCAGTTATCCACAATGTCCTCTCTAACCCAAACTGACTTACAAAAGAAAACTATAATGACGGCATTTTGGCTATTAGTCTAGACTATCCATTTTCCGTTTTCCCTCTTCTCCTACCATCACTATGCAAGAGACGCTAGATGCTACAGTAAATGACGTCGAGCTGCCAGTCTTTCGAATGATCCAGAGGTGGTCATGTTGAAAATACCAAATATTCAACTAAATTTATATACTATCAGTGATTCGATAAATACGTAAACAGAATTGTAGTGTACGTGCATTGAACAAAGTGTTTTGGCCATCGACATAGCTTTGGCTTGACCGATTTGTACGTTTGCTCGATTGAAAAATCAACGCTGCCAAACAACTAGCTTGTGCGTCCGTCTTGAGCCGCCATTCTTTGATTTCATCCCAAATTTGGATAATTGTCATCAATCAACATTGCGCAACGTTGTTAAAACAAGTGTGAGTAAAGAAGACAACAGTCATCGTTACACTCTCTTTCTTTCATTTCAACTTCATTCTTTTAACGTCGTCCATCTGCCAAAAAATTCATACGCTAGATAACTTCTGTTCTGCTGTTTTATGAAGAATCTGCTAACGCCAGATTTAAAATTAAGCGAAAAAAAATACGCGGAAATGAAGAATTTGCGTTAAAGAGAGTCACGTACGGATTACCCTATACCTTCGAGCATATACTACTGGAGGTAGCATTCAAGCGGCAAAGCGCGTTACCAGTTAAAGAGAGAGATAGCATGTATGGGAGGATATGCTATCTCTCTCTAGTCGCACGTGATTGGCTGTCTGGCTAGCCTACGTGCTCAAATAGCAAGCGAGGCAGTATATTGCGTAAATTAAATGTTATTATAAAAATGATCATGAATTTTTATTTTAGCAAGTTGTTTAAGTCCTTTATTAAGTATAGTTTTGGTGGATTTTTAAAGATCACTTTTACATAGGTAATATATATATATATATATATATATATATATATATATATATATATATATATATATATATATATATATATGGGTCATTCTAATACTTCTCGTCAAAACCGTGCGCACGGGGTCAACCGATTTTGACGCCAATTTTTTTCTAGATTTCATATGTCAAAATATGACGTCTTGAATTTTTTCAGATTTTTTTAAGCAGATCTAGGGTCCCTAGATTTTTTCAAAGTCCCTAAATCGACCAAAAATCGGTCAAAAAATGGCCATTTTCAAAGTGTCATAGAATCGTCAATTTTGAAGCTACAGTAACGGGCGAGAGCTCATTCTCTTTTTCTTTTTAAGAGCTTTCCATTGGTATATTTCAAAATAAGTTTATGTGACCCGGAAGTAGCTAAACGGCCAGGAACGTAAAGCACATTTTATTCGATTTCCTCTTATCTTTAAAGCTCTGTAAAATTGTCAATTTTGAATATTTTTCATCGCACAAGACACCATTTTTTTGGTCTTTTCAAGACAAAAAAAAACAAGTCTTCATACGTAAGAAAATGTTCAAAATTGACGGAGATACTGCCCTTCCAAGTTTGCAATTTTAGCAAAAAACGCATTTTTTGCGATTTTTGAGTGCAGTTTTCAATACGTTTACCTATTTCTTTTGAGCTAAAAATTTCAGGAAATGTTCCAGAAGTGTTCAGAAATAGGGGGAAAAAAGTTCCGTAATTGGCATCGGGCTCCATCAAACGATAAATGGCATGTATTTTCATCAATTTTTTTATGTTTTTCTTCTATTCTTAAATAATTATGGAATCCTAAAAAAAAAATTTTTTCCTCTTTTCTTTGTCAATTACATTGCAAATGTTTTTCTGGTTATCGATATTTATAATATTTGGTTTTAGAAAGATAATTTAATTTGACCAGACATATATTAAGTTATGCAAAAAAAAACATTCAATTGATGTATACGGTAACTAAAATATTTTAAAATATTTAATGAATCAAAAAATTTGGAAATCGTCTTCGTCAAATTAGTGAAATATCAATTAGATTTTGATAAAAATTCGAACATCACATCATTTGTAATATCAGAAAAATGTTCAATTTCTACATGTATTTATGAATGCTCAAAAATAATATATGTACAATTTAAAAAAAAAGAGATGTCAAACCGCAAATTAAAAAAAAATATATTGACACTAACACTCTTATGTATATTATCCTCTATCTGTTAAATAATTTTGGAATCCTGAGTATTTTTTTTCATTATAAGTGTGTAAGTATAGCAAATTGATATTTAAAGGATCGCACATTTATAATAATCATTTTTCTGAGTCCGAAACAGTTGTCATTTTTGATCCATCAGAGGGCGACACGAGGTAATGAAGTAGCGAATAGGATCACTAGACGCTTCTGCGTTTATTTTATATTCGTTGCTAGCATGCAGCTTCTCTGTCTAAACCGTGTTTTTACTTGTGTTCTACCGTTGCATTCATTGTTTACTTGACTTCGTATTTAATTTCTGTATAAGTTAACTTGTACTTTTTCACCCTTGTTCTTGTCAATCATATTTATTGTAGAATTTTTTTCAGTTTTAAGGGCCATCCCATCCTCTTCATTAAATTAACTTAAAAGATTAAAAACCATTGTTGACGTTTCGCAAATCATTTATTGCCACTTCAGAATTATATATTTTATTTACACATTGTAGTAAAGTTTTTTATGATGATAGTTTAATAACATAATGTTCGTAAATATTGCAAGTAATTGTTAAGAAGTACATGTTTATTAAAATGTACGACAGATTCGTTCTATGTACCGTTATGAATCTGTCGTACACTTTAATAAACATGTACTTCTTAACAATTACTTGCAATATTTACGAACATTATGTTATTAAACTATCATCATAAAAAACTTTACTACAATGTGTAAATAAAATATATAATTCTGAAGTGGCAATAAATGATTTGCGAAACGTCAACAATGGTTTTTAATCTTTTAAGTTAATTTAATGAAGAGGATGGGATGGCCCTTAAAACTGAAAAAAATTCTACAATAAATATGATTGACAAGAACAAGGGTGAAAAAGTACAAGTTAACTTATACAGAAATTAAATACGAAGTCAAGTAAACAATGAATGCAACGGTAGAACACAAGTAAAAACACGGTTTAGACAGAGAAGCTGCATGCTAGCAACGAATATAAAATAAACGCAGAAGCGTCTAGTGATCCTATTCGCTACTTCATTACCTCGTGTCGCCCTCTGATGGATCAAAAATGACAACTGTTTCGGACTCAGAAAAATGATTATTATAAATGTGCGATCCTTTAAATATCAATTTGCTATACTTACACACTTATAATGAAAAAAAATACTCAGGATTCCAAAATTATTTAACAGATAGAGGATAATATACATAAGAGTGTTAGTGTCAATATATTTTTTTTTAATTTGCGGTTTGACATCTCTTTTTTTTTAAATTGTACATATATTATTTTTGAGCATTCATAAATACATGTAGAAATTGAACATTTTTCTGATATTACAAATGATGTGATGTTCGAATTTTTATCAAAATCTAATTGATATTTCACTAATTTGACGAAGACGATTTCCAAATTTTTTGATTCATTAAATATTTTAAAATATTTTAGTTACCGTATACATCAATTGAATGTTTTTTTTTGCATAACTTAATATATGTCTGGTCAAATTAAATTATCTTTCTAAAACCAAATATTATAAATATCGATAACCAGAAAAACATTTGCAATGTAATTGACAAAGAAAAGAGGAAAAAATTTTTTTTTTAGGATTCCATAATTATTTAAGAATAGAAGAAAAACATAAAAAAATTGATGAAAATACATGCCATTTATCGTTTGATGGAGCCCGATGCCAATTACGGAACTTTTTTCCCCCTATTTCTGAACACTTCTGGAACATTTCCTGAAATTTTTAGCTCAAAAGAAATAGGTAAACGTATTGAAAACTGCACTCAAAAATCGCAAAAAATGCGTTTTTTGCTAAAATTGCAAACTTGGAAGGGCAGTATCTCCGTCAATTTTGAACATTTTCTTACGTATGAAGACTTGTTTTTTTTTGTCTTGAAAAGACCAAAAAAATGGTGTCTTGTGCGATGAAAAATATTCAAAATTGACAATTTTACAGAGCTTTAAAGATAAGAGGAAATCGAATAAAATGTGCTTTACGTTCCTGGCCGTTTAGCTACTTCCGGGTCACATAAACTTATTTTGAAATATACCAATGGAAAGCTCTTAAAAAGAAAAAGAGAATGAGCTCTCGCCCGTTACTGTAGCTTCAAAATTGACGATTCTATGACACTTTGAAAATGGCCATTTTTTGACCGATTTTTGGTCGATTTAGGGACTTTGAAAAAATCTAGGGACCCTAGATCTGCTTAAAAAAATCTGAAAAAATTCAAGACGTCATATTTTGACATATGAAATCTAGAAAAAAATTGGCGTCAAAATCGGTTGACCCCGTGCGCACGGTTTTGACGAGAAGTATTAGAATGACCCATATATATATATATATATATATATATATATATATACACATACATACACGTCATATTGTAAGAACAAAAATAAGTTAAATATGTAAAGAAAAAATTAATCAGTTTTCAAAATATAATAAATATTACATTTTAAATTTTTAAGTCACTGATTTTTAAATAGAATTAATTTAGTAAAATTTCTTCTTATCTTCTTTGCAGCTTGTTTCCTTTGTAGTTCGCGATGTTTAATTTGAATTTTTAAATACTTAAGAATTATATATTTAAGTAAATACAATCTGTGCAGCTTTGGGTTTTCCGTATGATTAATTGGTAATAAATTCTTTGGTATTTTGCATGTCATATCAAAACACATTTGCTTAAAAATAACTTTGGTAGATTTATAACATAATCTGAAATTCTTTTCGAGAATTTGACACACCTTAATTATATCTTCAGACGGTTTGATTAAACTTTCACGATTTTTTTTATCCACTAAAGATAAATAACTACTTTCATCTGTTAATAACAATGGACATTGAAAACATTTCATGCGTCTTAAAATCGTTCTAACTATGAAGCCAGCTACGTACGCAACAACGTTATCTATATATAACTTATTAGTTCCAGAACCGTAAAAATTATCACAGCTTAGTGAATAATTTCCAACATCAACATCTGTATAGTTATTATCAATAATCTTGTCAGATAAGCTCTTCTTAAAACTTTTACATATTTCAGGTGAGATCTTTAAAATTTCTGTATTATCTACAGAAATACTATTCGCATGCTGAGACTCTTTTACATCAGCATGAATTAGCAACTTCTTAACAATATTAACAAATTGGTAGCAAGTTGGATGCGTTATTGTTACCACCCTTGTTTCGTACTGCACTAAAAAATACTTCGAGATGGTCCTGAGATAACTTATACGTTAATAAATAAAACTTATTAGTCTTAAAATAAGTTTTATAAATGTTAATAATATTTTTAGGGAACAAATTATTCCTTGAAATCCAGTTTTTTTACGCGAATTAATGACTAAGGTCCCATCAAAGTATTTTAAATTTTCAATATAGGTAATCTCATTTATGCTTTTTGCAATATCTTCAATGTTATTTTCAGATATACTTCTTTTGTACTCATCTGTATGATACAACTCTCTCGAATTTAGAATGTCAAATGCGTCTTTTATAAAATTACAAAATTTAGCAGTTCCAGCAGCATTTTCAAATTGTGGTATTTTTAAATCTTCTTTTAAAAAAGAAGACTTACACTTTTACTTAGTGTTTGAGCAGCTATTCGCACATTCATTTTATTTTCTTCCCATTTAATATGCTCTTTCCTTAATTTATTTGCTGCATGTAGCCCATTCATTTCCTGAAAATCTAGAAGATCGGATATGAATGTCCAAGATATAATCTCTTCGGCATCATACATATCTTCACCGCTAGCTAAGGCATTTATAATTAATTTGAGCATATGACATCCATCATAAATAATATATATTTCTTTTTGCGTAACAGGATGTGGGAAAAAATATTTATCATCAGTTTTCAAATATTTTTTAGCTCCCAATACATTGCACATTATTGTGTTAGAATGTAAACCATCAAATGTTAATGATGTTATAGTAATGCCTGTATCGTGCAAAGCTCTTACATTTTCTAGTATTATGTTTGATTTTTCTCCAGTTAAGGATTTTATAAAATAATAGGAGACAGGAATTTTGAATTTTCCGTTTTCGCAGACAATCATAATAATTAGAACATTTTCTGCTTCAGGTACATCAATTCCATCTAAATTATCTCCGACGTATATATATCCTTATTCTTTATCATTTATAATCTCTACAGCTTTCCTCACGCTCATTTCATCCATAACTAGATTACAAAACACTGGTTTATTTCTATTTGAATCTTTCATAAGATTAACTTTTTTTTTATTGTCTCGAAACTTGCTTTATTTATACCAGTGGTAGAATCAATATTTTTGTACCATTTTCCAATTGTAAGAGGATGAGGTAAACAGTTTATGAAAGTTCTTTGGACATAATTATACGCTTTTGGTGAGTAAAAGTGCAATGTTGTAGCAAATGATCGTAAAGATCGTTTTTGTTTTTTTTTTTTTCAGTAAGCATTTTAATATATCGCTTGCTTGTGGTGGTAAGGTATCCTAAAATAACAATTTGCAAACTGAAATTCATTTGTAACTATAAATAAATTAAATTTTCAATAAGTATTATATTTATGCATCGAAATATAAAAGAAAATAATTGCAATCGTAAGTCAGCTTTTGGACTCGAATTTAATTTAGTAAATCTCGTAATTACACACAGAATATTAACATCACTGATAAAAATACCTTTTACTTTAAAAATGTAAAAAGTATGTATACTTTTATTAATAAAAAAATCAACATCAGATTATAAAAACGTATGTACTTGTAATTTACCTATATCATTATTAACAACAATCAAAATTATATAAATTTCCTGAATTTTAAATTATTTATTTAAAAAGATTGATTTAGTTTAAAATTAGATATTAACTAATTAAAATAAACAGAATAAATATAACTTTTTATCTTTTTAACAGAAATATATTATAAAAAATTAGTAGAGTTCAAACTAACAATAAAACTTTATTGCTTATTAGTGTTAACATTTTTATTTACAATTTTTTTCAGGGAAAAGTGGTAAAAGAAATACACTGCCCGTCAATGACTTTTGCCATGCTTACCTCAAAATTAGGTAAACTTGAAAGTTTTGTATCTCGGTCGGAAATCATCGTATCACAAAAAACCGCAGGGCAGTTTAAAGGTAATTGCAAAAGCTTCTATTTAAGACGTGCAGAGACTTAAAAATGAAAATATGTTTTTTAGATTAAAAAACTGATTAAAAAAATTTTTTTAACCTCGACTTAAATCAATGCCAATTTAGAACCAGGCGGTGGAGTGCAAATCGACCGGAGGGGTTCGGAGGGTAATGTCATTCCCTTTAAAATTAGCCCCCGCGGGGTTCTATCCGATGTTTTTTAACCGAGTTATGGCGTTTTTTGTAAAAAAATAACCTTTTTTCAATCCTCTATTACTTCGATTTGCGTACGTTTTGGAAAAAAATGCCAAGGAGAAAAAAGTTTCATTTTGTGTCCAAGAATACGAAAATAAAGTCAAAATAAAGAAATAAAGAAAAAAATTTTTTTCGGTTTTTTAGCGCATTAAAAAAATAAAGGAATTTAACTTTTTTTTTACGCTTAGTTTTAAAATGTCTAGGGGCGTAGTAAATCACTAAATGAGTAGTATAAATTTATTTATATAATAATTAATATTTTCTGTTAAATATAATTTGAAAAAATAATAAAAATAAAAAAGAATTTATTTATACTACTTTGCACTCCAAATTGTCGATTTGCACTCCACCGCCTGGTTCTAAATTGACATTGATTTAAGTCGAGGTTAAAAAAATTGAAATTTTTTTAATCAGTTTTTTTACTCTAAAAAACACATATTTTCATTTTTAAGTCTCTGCACGTCTTAAATAGAAGCTTTTGCAATTACCTTTAAACTGCCCTGCGGTTTTTTGTGATACGATGATTTCCGACCGAGATACAAAACTTTCAAGTTTGCCTAATTTTGAGGTAAGCATGGCAAAAGTGATTGACGGGCAGTCTATGCACGTTTTTCATATTAATGTTTTTTTAGTATATGTATAATTTTTATTTGGTGATAAATATATAAATATTTTATAATCAGTAGTATAATAGTACATTATGCACCTAGGGAGTAAAAGTAAAGAATGCCTTCGGCTCGTGTGACAATTACATGCAATCCGAGGCTTTCTTTTTTTACTCCCGTGGTGCATATACTATTTTTTTGCACGAGGAGCGTACGAAAATGCGTACTTTAGTTTTAGCCCGCAGGGCCAAAAGTACGCACTTTACGCGCCGTATGCAAAAAATATAATTTTTATATAAATCATTAAAAAATGTATTATATATCTATTGTTATAAAATATGTATAGTAGTTTTAATTTAACATTTTGTACAATTAATTGTAATGAAATTTATAGTGGAACAACTTATAAATTAATTAGATATAATCATGTAAAATTAATGAGATTTTTTAGTATTAACGAATAATCATGTGTACTGTATGCATATATTTATATTATATTTTCAGAAAGATTTTGATTTATTTTATACATATATAATACATTTTTTAATGATTTATATAAAAATTATATTTTTTGCATACGGCGCGTAAAGTGCGTACTTTTGGCCCTGCGGGCTAAAACTAAAGTTAATAACAATAGACTACAAACTAAAGTTAATAACAATAAACTAATAACAATAGTTAATATACATAAATTCATTTCCTAAATGATATAATCTTAACTGATATAATTTGGCTTATAATATACAAATTAGGTACTAATAACGCATGAGTTTAAATCTATGCTGACATAAGTAAGGAATAATAATAATTTTATAAACTGTTGTCGCCTTTCGTACTTACTTTTAAGACTTCTGAAACCTTTTCAGATATTAAATTGCGTTGCCTCACATGAAAAATCAGCGAGTTACTACTTTTCACTTTTCTATTTGCACGATGTAATCTCATTGACTGGACTCTTCTCTGTCTACGTAAACGTCTAACCTCTGACTGTGCATTCTCCAATAATCTTCGTACAATGTTAGTATTTTTTAAGTCTATTAAATTTAAATTTACGTTAACTATTGATTTCCTAAAAGTATTTCTTTCAATGTCTCCCTTTTGAACAACATTACTTGAATCTGAAAAACTTTAAATAATCATGTATTAGTATAATTTATACTACTATTATGTAAATGAATGAATCTTTATTCTAAGTATTACCTCCTATTTACATCACTTTCTATCGCAACTTGCTCTGGATCCATATAATTATCTTCTACGTTTGGTAACTGACAATCATCTAATTGTCTGAAACAAAGAATCATATCACCCCAAGATAAATTATCATATTTGAATACAGATAAAGAAACTGATTTGAAAAGTAAACCATACCTTGTATCAAAATTGTTTTCATAAAGGTCTTTAGTGATGCTGGCATCATTCGTTGAACTTGTAGATGATGGAACCATACTCACTTTTGAGGAAAAATCTATTTCGTTACTAAGTAAATCACAATTATTTGTATCTGATGAACTTTGTATTGGTTTATTTTGCTCCGCTTTTCCAAATTTCGTTGGACATGTCCCCTTTTTAAGCCTTACTACTTTAGATAAACCTCCATAGTTGAAACATGACGGTTCAAAGTGCATAGCACAAACATAAGAATATATTTTAAATTCTATTTCAGTCTTAAAATACTTTTTTATGCTATTAGCCCATTCATTTCGTGAATCCTCATCTTTCGGTACTCTAAAAAATATACAAACAAAAGTAAAAACAACGACAAACTCGAGCCCTTCCTCGAAACTAACCACAAAATACATATATATTACGTATTTAACTTACCGAAAGAAATTCAAATTTAAACAGTCAGGATCATCTTTCTGCAATCTGCAGTTGGGAATGCAGCACTTTTTAACCATCTTTTATATTTACGTACACAAAAAACCATTTAACAAAATATTTATCAACTGTTAGATTTGCGGTAGACGACTTTTTCCAAAGTAAATATAGGCAGCCAATCACGTGCGACTAGAGAGAGATAGCATATCCTCCCATATATGCTATCTCTCTCTTCGACTGGTAACGCGCTCGACCGCTTGAACGCTACCTCCAGTAGTATATATGCTCGAAGCCCTATACCGATTAAATAATATTACTAATATAAATGTTTTTTAATAATAGAAACAGTACAAGACAACTAAGGTCAGGCTGCATTTGTCATCATGGCTCATTTTGGTGACAGTATTATAAATGAAAAAAAACCTCTTGAGTTCGTGCAGGTTTTGCCGCATATTAAGGTAACTAGTCAGTTTTGTTTTATAATTCGTCTTCTATATTATTTTGTGACAAATAGTATTTCCATTTTGATGTGATACAGATATTGACTATAATTCAAAAATGTTGAATGAAAGTTCGTGTAGAAAAATAGCTATTGACTTTGATCTTAGTCGTCATTCAGAGTAACGTTTCGTTATACACACACACACACACACACACACGCACACATAAATGCAATATTTATTTACAGCCAGTGGCACCGATACTTATAAAAACGTGGCCGACAGAAATGAACCATCGGAATGAAATTATAAATGCCTCATTGAACATATTGACAAATTCGCCACGTTGTATTCGAGAAATGCGTTTGTACTTGTCAATACTCGGAGACGCGCTAAGGAAATTTAGATATAAACAGAAGAAAGGGTTTTATAGAGAAATGACGACTAGTAAAGAGCTTCAAGAATTAGAGATATCACTAGCATTGTTGTTTAATGAAATGAATGTGGCATTTTATCTTAAGAAACTGTTCGGAAACAACGGGGAAAAAAAACCTGACGATTACGAGGTAATTAGAAATATATTCATTTTAGATATCAGTTAATCTGAATTGTAAGTTGTTATACTGTAACCGAACGATAACAATTGCTATGTGTATTTTTTTCAAGCTAGAGAGTGTAATTGATGAAGCGGTAAATGAAGCTAAAAGATGGAGAACGCAGTATTTAGACAAGATACGCATAGAAACCATTACTGCCCCGCAGGCTTCCACCAATTCCCAAAACAAAGTAGCGTCAGGTAAAAAAAGCGATTGTGACGTGAATTCAGAAGATGTGCTATATGAACAAATCTTTGCGATAAAGAAGCTTTTAAAGACAATTAAGGTAAGCAAAAGTTATCTCATGATCATTATTTCACATTATTAAAAAAATTAAAATCTAGCTCTCCTTTTCAATTTATTTTCGAATATATTATTTTCAATTATAATTTGTAGCATAACCCCTATAAATTTTATAAATATCTAGCTGGTATAAAGAATTAACGCTATTGACTCAAATTAAATAATTTTCTTCTTTTATAGCCAGTGCCTCCAATATTACTAGAAACATTTCCAAAAGAAATGAGGTATTACGATGATAACTTAAATGTGTTGAAAGATATGTCTGAAAAGTTACAGGATCATTTACCTTACAAGAACGCACGGCGTTATTTATTAATACGTTTAGAAATGTGCCAGACGAATATATCGGATACATTGACTAAGATTGAAAAAGTATACCCTAAAGAAGTAGAAGCACTCGCGAATGAATTTCCACATTTTAAATTATCTCATGACGTGCTGTTGGAAGAAGTTAGTAAGATATTGACAAAAATACCGGAGTAAATGCTAAAGCAACAGAGCAAAATGATGATTATTAGAATATTGAGTTGTTATAATCCAATAATTAAGGTAACAAGAAAGTTTAACCTCATAATCTAGATTATTTCATTACGTCAAATCATTACGCTGCCGCCATTGCTATTTGATTTTTATTCTGATGTGTTAAAATAACGTTTTTAATTATAATTGTAAAAGTTTGCGTTCCAGTATGTTGTTATTAAATAATTATTGTAATATCTATAATTATAATAGTAATTTATCAAAGACCGATTATTATCTTGATTTATTTTCTATTTGAAATTAAAGCTTATAGGGCTTTGAAAACTTTAGCAGTGCATAAAATTAATTAATGTAAAGTTAATACGTATAATTGAATATTATGTAGTTTCAAAGTTCTCGCAGGGTTAAAATTACGAACAGAAAATAAACTAAAATATAGTTTTCAATGTATGTTTTGTTATGTAAAATTACAATTCGTGCTCAAATTGTAGCGCTCACACTTCGTTTATTTTTATTAAATTATTAAATTACACAATTATAAAACATGAAATATTTTCGTTTTGATTTATGTCAAAGTTTTCATAGATGATTGTAGCACCTTCACGTACAAAAAAAGGGTGTCAGAGAAAAAGAAACAGAAAGTGCATCACCTAAATATTTCGAATCTTTTGCAACTCCACAACATCATTAAATTGTAAAATTGATAGTTCATTCTCAACTAGAAAATTTCTATAAATGGCGCCGAATAAACGTACATTTTCATGGAACGGTTATACTATAGCATTTTTTTCACTTATCGTTCAATGACGCAAAAATTGAAAAAAGTGCCCATCAGCAATAATAAAGTACAGTGACATATTCAATATGTTGACGTATCTTAAGTGTCACCTCGGTCATAATATATAGTTTACCTAACTTTGCTCAATACTAAATGAGCGCTTGAAAATGTGCAAACTAGCTTTAAATTGGTCAAAAGAGAACAAAAAATATAGTTGTCACAAAGATCCAGAGACAATTAGCGAGGATTTAATGATTTTGAGAAGTTATGTGGTGCTAATTAACGAAATAAATGATGTACTTCAGCGATTAAATGATATCCCAGAAACTCGAACTGATCAGTATCAGGTAATAAGAAAATAATTTTTTTTAATGAGCAAAAGATGTTTTTCATCATCCTCTGATCACATAATCATCTTTTATAATTTCTTATAGATGCAGAGCAGTATTAAAGGAACTATAAATTCGTTCAGAACGACTATAAGGAATGATAAATTGGAATAACAAAATTGAGCGTACATAACTAGTTGCTCATACTTAATACATTTAATTTTGTTCTTCGTTTACAAATAATCTAACTCAATTAAAAAATGGAAAAAATGAAAAAATCTCATTTTGACTTTTTTTCCTTCAATACGTTACAATAATTACTCAATCTCAAATATTATTCATTAAACAAAGTATTTTTTCGCATTAACAATTAGATATACCTTCTTTATTACAACTAAACGTTCGTTACTGCAAAAAGATCTTAGCTACGTATGCAATTGAGCAGATCATTTGATACTACAATGTTTTAATTTTCTTTGTTGGTTTTATCTATATATTTTAAATTAGAAATATGAAGAACACCAATGTATTCATGCCGACTTTAGAAAAGAGGAGATTTTATACTTAATCTTAACTTTTTACGCATATTCGCATTATCTTTGAAGTGGTTCAACCGACATCATTGGGGTAAACTATCATTTAAAAGGTATACTTCCGAGAAGTTCCCATTACACTTTTGATTAGATTGAAGTATAATTTCATTATAGAATTCTGTAATTACAGATAATGTTGAAATCCACTTTTTCGTTGAAAAACTTAATTGTTGTAGATTGCCAATTGAGGAGCTCATAATCGCTATATACAAAATCACTTACTTGCAGAATGTATTTTTTCTAAGACATTAAAGTGATGCCTAAATTTATACGCGTTATTTTTAAGTTGTAGTATTAACATGTCACATTTCTATATAATACGTAGCAAGTATTTTTGTAAAGAATACTAATTTCAATTGGTATTTTAATAATTCACAAAGTTGTGATTTAATTAAGCTAATAATAAAATGGGGTCAATTCACTAGTATGTATACCCTTTCAAACGAATCTACTCCTCCATTGAAATTGGTTGAACCAATTCAGAAATATGTGCAAGAATACAAAAAATAATTTATATGGAATACAGAACCGTTTTTGATTTCAGCAAATTATAAATTGGTAAGTCATCGTTACATAATTATTTTTAGATGAATCAAAGTTAAGATTTCATTTTTTCAAATTCTTTGATTATTGTATTGCTTGGCCATTAATTTAAAAAGATCCAACTTGCAATTTTTCATCTGCGCTTGAATATTTTGATTATCATCGAAACATTTTTAGTTTTTATAATTATTAATAATTGTTTATTAGTCATTTTTAACACAATCGTGTATTTTTCAAACTTAAAATTAAAATTTCGGAGTTTTCTTAAAGGTCGGGAATTGGGTGAAATTAGTTTAATAATAATGCTTCTTTTGCTTGTTTTCTTTCAGAATAATTTTTATTTTTTCGTATTTCTGCATAAGTTTATTAAAAATATTAGTAACTTTACTTTGATATCCTGAATAATTTTATTCCGTATTTAGAGTACAAGATACCTTAATATTAGTTTAGATTTTCTTGTACTTTCTGGTAAGATTTACTCGGTTTTTTCACGCCGTCACATTTTTTGGAGTTGTAATATTCTTTAAAAGTGTTGAATGTATAGCACATACATTTCTTAATTGGACAGTGATATGAAAAATTGATTTTAAAAATAGTATAGCTCATTTGTTTATTCAATGATCAATTTTTTATAATACTTGCATCATTGTAGATATAAAAATCTATTTTCATACCTATAAAAGTCAAGATGATTAAAAATAATATGTTCATTGAAAACTTTGTATGCAATGAACTATACTCTATATCGAATATCAATTACTAGAGTGCAATCAGTAACTGGTAATCTTTGGTTACATTTTTTTTTTTAATTAATAGTCGTATAATTAATGGAAATTGTTCGCAATTCCTTAATATATTACTTAGATAGAAAATTTCCAAATTAAGTGTTAATCAACTTTTATCATCTTCAGACTCTTGTGTTTTTGATTCATGAATTGCAATCAGCTCTCCAGCTTCTGGCCTTTCTTCGACATCTTTTTCGTTCGTCTCCTTCTCGTGATTATTCCACGGTTGTTCAGCTGATGTACCCCAAATCAAGTGAACAATACAACTTACGGCGAGGTTTGCTGCGGAAATCAGGAATACCAAACGCCATTGCTTTATCGTTTGCTGAAATCGTGTACAAAATCGTTAGCCGACTTCTCTTTTTTGTTCATACTATACTTGTTTGTAATTATGATGTTGCATTATGATATCTAATCATAAATATGGATATACATAAAGTATCTGCTTAAATTAACATAAAAAATTATACAAACGAACTCACATTCTCATTAGTAAGAATGCCCACTACCAACGGCGAGATAAATCCAGCTGGCAGAGTGACCAAATTGCAAATACCAAAGAGCACACTTGCGTAATTGGGACTAAGATCAACAAACGCAGGGATCGATCCAGACGATACCGCCCCGTTAATAGCAGTCCCACTGATCATGAAGAAAGCTGCGTAACCAGGACGACATCCGCTGAATCCCAAACCAATCGTGAGCAAACATTGTCCACCAGTGCAGACGAAGTTGGCGAACTTTCGTACAGCCGTGAGTGGCATGCGTTTTGTGCGTAGGAGCCAATCGCTTAGCATTGAGAACATGTAGGAGAATATCATACGGGCAATGTGGGGAGAGCCCGAAAGGAGACCGACCTATAAAGTTCAAAGTATTATTAGCGATCCTGTAAACTCTTTATTGATTTTTATTCATGACATTTTTCGGAGAAGAAACAAGCAAAAATTTTCAGAAACAATATATACGAAAGTATGTTCGTGAAATTTACCTCGTTAATAACTTTATTGGGATCTTTGTTAAGAGAAGTTTTTAATTTCTCTTCGGTTAATATATTCAAGTAGAATAATAATTAAAAATACGCGTTTAACCTTGAATGTTTTTATAAAAAATTGAGTCACATCGTGCAATAGCATACTTATTTTACGCTTATAATACATCTGAGCTGTTATGTATAGGACAACTAGTTCATTCATAGCGTTTAGCTACGCAAATCGTTTTTAATGACGTAGTTATATAATCATTCTAAAACAGCGTAGTGACATTTATCGAAAGAAGAGTAAAGCCAGCTATTCTAAAAAAATGTTCAAGGATTCGTTATCATGCGATACGTAAAAGATTAAATAGCGAAAATTATTATTATTATTATTATTTATTGCACCTCAAATACTGAGTAGACCACGATGATTTGCGATTAAACCTTGATAGGACAACGAAAATTTGAATACAGAGTAGATTTCTACGAAAATAGTTAATTTGAATCTTAATTATATGTGAATAAACGCAATTAATCAACTCACCGTATTGATATTCCAACCCTGCACGTAATTGAAGTACGAAGGTGCCTGCGTCATGAAAGTAATAAATCCCCAGACCCCACCCCAATGTGCGATGATGGTCACCCAAAACGGTCCCGAAGTTAAGATACTTCTCCACGGCACCTTCTTATTCGATTTACCACACTCGTCGTCCCTCGATGCGGCGAGGCTCTTCACGATATAACTCTTCTCCTCGGCTGTTATTCGCGGATGCTGTTGTGGCGTATCATACACCAAAAACAACCAGAAAACGTACCTGCACGAGAGATCGTCAGAAGACCGTAATGCGCGAATCGATTAACGAGCTTGTCGGCTCACCAAAGAATGCCGATCACCGAAGTAATGTGGAAAACAGCTTCCCAACCGAAAGCATCGATGATAACGGCGCACAATGGATATGTGACAGCGACTCCCACGGAACTACCTACGGATATTTACGTGCAACATGACTGATTGCGCGTTTGGGCAAGAGGTTGAACAATTTATTGCATTTCTCACCTAGATACGAGCTGATAAACCGACTACGTTCGTTTGGTGGAATCCATTTGGCTGTCATATCGTGCATCGATGGCCATATGACACCCTGAAACAAAATTATTCTTTCAAAACTGCCCAACGTCGTACTTTATAAGAATATATCTATATATACGTGCGGAAATCAAGCCTTGTAGTGCTCTAGTGATGATCAGGGCATTCAAGCTGTAATGAGTGGCGAGAGGTATGAAAAAACCAAGCAGCGCTACGAGAAGATTGCCGAGGCCAAAGACAATTTTCGTGCCGTACTTTCGTGCCATCAAACCACCGGGGAGCTGTGACAACCAGTGGAACCAGTAGTAGGCACCCAGTGCCAACCCCTGCTGATACTCGTTCCAGTGGTAGCGATCCGTCCAAACTTTTTCACCGTTCTTTCGTGTAAGAAAAAATCAGAAACAACGTTTTTCGTTAATCGTTAATGCCGAAAAAAATGGCATAAAAAGAACATTTACCGAGGGATTATTCGGAGAGTTCAACGGTACAACCACAGATCGATTGCCAAGTGATGCCTCTGGTGCGCATTCGGAAGCTGCGGCTGATTTGTCATGAGGTACGATCATTGTTACGATTGCCAAGTTCAAATTGTTCCTCAGCATGTAATTCACACCAAAGCCCCAAAAAACTAGAGCCCACAGTACGTCCCGGCATGAGATGGAATTATTCCTTAGAACTGTTATCGAAATCCAAAAGGTCGTATTGGAAAAAATTTGGACATTGATATTCCTTGCGTTGGGTTTCTGTTTTTTTTGTTTATTGCATTTATAAAAATACTGCTATTCCTTGACTTTTTATCGATGCTCAGAAAAGTCGCTCGCGATTTGACTTGTTTCATTATGTAATATATAAAAGGATAATGGAAACTGAAACGTACGATTTTCTTATCGTATCGATTCCTGTTGCGTAATATATTCTTTATTTAATAAATTTTCAGAAAGCAGTAATCACTCTACTGCAGATGAACGAACCTACTTGAAAAATGCTTTTTTACTGATGTTAATCACCATCTAACTGCACTCGATTAATAGCATCTACTGTTTAAAGCTTCGTCAAGTGTTGATAAATTGAGCCCTCACGAATCGTACCGCTTCTTTTTTTTCGCACAATCACGGCCAATTATCAATAACAGTAAAATTAGCGAATGACGATCAATCGCGCCGTAACACGTGCGCATAATAGAGTCTTTGTGCAATTCTAATCAAGCGTCGCATAAAAATCGCGGCTTCGCGTTCCCGAAAAACCGTCATGGTCAATTGATCCTGCGTTAAAAAAAAAAAAAAAAAACATGTACTTATATTTCAAGGGCAGCTGCAGCTACGAGCCTCTCTCGGTATCATTGTTTCAATGACACGCACTGCCAATTATAAAGCATCGCTGCCAATTTTCTCTCAACATAGATTCGAGCACGTTAAACGCTTTTAATACCAACGCCCTTCGGATGGAAATCACGATGTAGTCCGATAATCTGATTTAAAATGGGCGAGCACTCTTTATTGAAAATTCTCGTTCGGTGGCTACCGGCAAGATCGTTATCTAGAAGTGAGTTTCGATTTTGGCGGCAGAAAAGACGCCGAGTGTAATTATAAGCACGATAAGAATTTAATATTGATCGACGGATTATAAGCACTGGCTGTTCACGCGCACTATCGACTGACATGTCAAATGTCCCGACAATCTAAGTTTTTAAATATAATTATTAATTTTGCGAATTCGCATTCTAATTTACTGTTGTTTTGTTTGTCGCCAACAATTTTCGCTCTGATTTCGATATAACAACGAATCCGACGTGATTGATTCAGAGAACAATTTAAAATTTGAGTAACACGTTAAGCGATCAAACACAAAACATACTGCACATCATTGACAGCTAAAAGAAGAATTCTCACTGCAATTTAAAATAACATTGTTTACTTACACCTCGCCATGCCTCTTGATATTATCACAGTTTGACAGTCACGTGTGTCGGGCTAGGCTTTTATCTCGGCGAGGAAAAAGGAATTTACCACTCACTCGGAACAAGTGCTATGGATTCGTAAGAGAATCAGCCTCGTTACAACCGCTTAATAGTCTTTGAAATTTTGGAGCAGCTATTATCACCCTTATTTCGTGGCGGTGTTTGACGAGAGACTGAATGGAACTGTGCGACGCGCAGAGCGCCTGTAGTAGGATAATATTAGAGAGAGAGAGAGAGAGAGAGAGAGAGAGAGAGAGAGAGAGAGAGAGAGAGAGAGAGAGAGACGATGACGATTTACGACTAAGTAAGAGTTTACATCCGCGATAAAGGAGACCTCCCCGTGGTAGACTACACAGTTGCTGGCTGCTGCTTCTTGTCTATTTAGTGCTCGAAGGGAGGGTATTTGGAGAAATTTTTCCAAGTATTTGGGAAAGTGTTCGGAGGACTGTTTTTTGTAGTTTATTGAGAATAAAATGCAGATTTTTATGTTTCGTTGAAATATGAAAATGTGATGACTACCGAGGATGAGAACTTACGAAAAGGAATTTCGAGAGATAAAACTGTGTTAAAGGTTATTTGAAGGAGATTCAAATAAAGTGGCAGGAAATCAATAGCACGATTGATTTTCATTCAACTACAAATTGATTTTCAAGTATCGTAGCCGCACGGATGATTGGTATTTCAGCAATTGCTTGATAACAAAACGATCATTTAAAAAACTAATTCGGACACATTGTAGAGCAAAACAGATAATTTGATTATTCATACGTTTACAAAAGTTCACACATGTGTGTGTATGCGTGTGCGCATGTGTGTATGCTTGACTATCGGAAATTTTATAGAGAAAATAACATCTGAATGAATATATATTCAAATTAGTAATAACGGAGCATAGTTTGAGGTAAGTAAGAATACGCATTGTAAAGCATTTTATCATTAAAACTTATATATATCATTCACAGGAGTTGATATAAATCATTATAATTACTCAAGGAAATGAATAAATATTCAAGTTTAGCTTTTACAATTGTAAAAATAAATAAATATAATAGATGTTTCAAGATATAATAAGATTTTTGTCATTTTGGAGCAATTTTAAACAAATATAATATTTGCAAATTAAATGCAATTTTAAACTTGTAATTAATGATTTACTGGTTCAATTATTAGGTCATCGAAACATACTAGGAATTTTCGAAAAAATATTTAATAGATAAAGCAACATCAATTTTCGATGGAGTATTTTAAGAACTTAATTTATTTTGAACTATGATGGGTTTATATCCACACCATTATAATTTTTAAAATTTGAGTGAAATAGTTTAGTGATTAAAATTATTGTCATATAATAACTGGTTTTCTTTTTTTACGGTATATTTTATAATATTTAAGTTTAGCTTGGCTTATGAGGTTTTTAAAAATCAGTCGCTCACATACAAGATTTTACAAATATTAATAATACAAAATTATTGAAAAATTAGGTAAAAATAATTTGAAATTTAAATATCCCCCCAAATTCATACCAACAAAAAGCAAAAGTGTCCGTCCGATGCAAAGTGTTGGCAACACGTTGCTCTCTTTGAACTTCCTCTGTTTTTTCGACGGCTCTTTCGGTACGTCTTCGTGTAGTCTGCGTGCTCAAAATCTGTAATTATCATTCCCAACTGGCTGACATCCTCGTAAAAATGTTCAATGAAATTTCATTTCATTTCTCTGTCATTGAAAACTGCAAATATTTTTCTTATTTTTTAAACTTTTAACCTAGCAAAAGTTTGTTAGCATTTTGCAAGGTTATGTCAGTTCAGCTAGACAACCAATTTCCCATTGTAATATCTCGCGAGTTTAAGTGTGAAGTGCTATTGTTTTTATAACAAAACGGTGTTTACTTTATTTTACAGAGATTGAGCCATGGGTCGTGTAATTCGCGCTCAGCGTAAGGGAGCTGGATCTGTATTCCGCTCTCACACCAAAAGGAGGAAGGGCGCACCAAAGCTCCGATCTCTCGACTACTCTGAGAGACATGGATACATCAAGGGTGTCGTGAAGGTATACTTTATCCATTTTTAACAATCGCTTTAATTGCTTGTTTATTATGATAAATTATAGTATTTATTTTGTAATTATTTTAGAGAACTTGTCACTATTGTTTTAATTCTCAATTCAAATCCTCTCTTGTTCATAATTACAAAACATTGAATCTTGAAATCATACAATTTTTTTTATTAGTTTTATCCTGAGAAAAAGAACTTTAGTATCTTTTATTCGACTCAAATAAAAAAATTTGAATTCATTATGAGCATTTAAGTGAAAAAGTATTTTAAATTGATAGCACCATGTGGTTATTATTTGATCGCTTATTAGCAACATGTAAATTCCAAGATTTGACTTTTGATCACGAAATTTTGAACTGTTTTGATATATTTTTATTTAATAAAATTATATTGTATTGCTGTTGTACGCAATTTCGTTTTTAAAGGAAAACATAATATTATTATTGTTTTGTAGGAAATCATCCATGATCCTGGTAGGGGTGCACCTCTTGCAGTAGTTCACTTCCGTGATCCGTATAAGTTCAAGACACGTAAAGAGCTGTTCATTGCTCCTGAGGGCATGTACACTGGACAATTTGTCTACTGTGGAAAGAAAGGTTGGTTAATTAATCTTTGGATAATCAAGTTTTAAAAAATCTAAGTGTTCCTTAATTGAAATATCTTTTCTTTCTCTAGCCACCCTTCACATTGGCAATGTTATGCCAGTTGGACAAATGCCTGAAGGTACCATTGTCTGCAATCTTGAGGAGAAGACTGGTGACAGAGGCCGATTGGCCAGAGCATCTGGTTTGTACGCCACAGTTATTGCTCACAACCCTGACACAAAGAAAACTAGGGTGAAACTGCCATCTGGAGCCAAGAAAGTTATTCCATCTGCTAACAGGGGTATGGTTGGTATTGTTGCTGGTGGTGGACGTATTGACAAGCCTATCCTTAAGGCTGGACGTGCATACCACAAATATAAGGTTAAGAGGAACTGCTGGCCAAAGGTAAGCAATAGAAATTTCATAAATATTAAATAGGTTAGTTATCAAAATTCATATGATGGTATAAGACATTTGAAAACCGAATTAACCTAGGTGGACAATTTTTTACTGATTAAATAAATTTAAAAAAAATTAGCACGTTGTAAGTGTTTATGTATTAATTAATCATATATTTATGATTTTAGGTTCGTGGTGTTGCTATGAACCCTGTTGAGCATCCTCATGGTGGTGGTAACCATCAACACATTGGTAAGGCCTCGACTGTCAAGAGAGGAACTAGCGCTGGTCGTAAGATTGGTCTCATCGCTGCTAGGAGAACTGGTAGGATCAGAGGAGGCAAGACCGACGCAAAGAAGGAAGATTAGACTAAACGCTAATTTTATCTTGGTCTTTATTATAATAAAAACAGAAAAACACCAAAAAAAATTTAATTCTTATCTTCTGTCATTATTTATCAATTTCAACTCCATTCTAATATTTATTGATAGCAATGTTTTAAAGATAATTTATCAGAACGAGTGATTTTATATTTAGAAAGAAATTGGAAAACTAGAATTTTTAACTAGGATTTTTAATTAGAATTGTTAATTAGGATTTTTGGCATTTTAGAGCGATTTTAAACAAATATAATTTTCGCGAATTAAATGTAATTTTGAACTTTTAATTAACGATTTACTGGTTCAATTATTAGGTAAATTTAACGTGTAATTTAGCATGTAATAATTAGGAGCTCAAATTGTTACATATTGCTTATAACTAATGGAAGTATCTATGTTTACAATAGAATTGCATCTTCTAAATTATATTTCCAAAAATACAATTACGTATGTGGCATTTGAATTTTGATATACATAAAAGCGATTTTTTTAAACTGATTTACGATTGTCATTTTGATGAATAGATGTTCATCGATCGAAATATAATAGAATAATTTTTCCAAACAAATCATCATCTAATACATTATATCGGTGAAACCAATAATAATCTTAAGATGTCGATAAAACAATGACCTAAAAATTACGAATCAAAAATGCGATTACTCATTTACTTTGAAATATATAAAAGCGTACAGAAGTACAATAGCGCCATCACGACAGTCCTGGGAGTGGGGTCTGGTTGAAGTCGAGAACATGCGCTGCGCAGAAGCTTTATGCTGCTATTGCGCAATGTGTAGTTGCTACTGCGCAGTGTGCACCAACTTTGACAGATCCTCTGGTGTTCTCCAGATTCCAGAACAATTTAGCATTCCGTCGACCGTCTAGGACGCTGGTTGTGAAACTCGTATGTCGTGTTGTCATTTGGTTGTTGGTAATACTGATTCTCCAAAAGACTCAGAATTCATACGCGACAAGCAATTTTTAATGATTTTCTGCTGCTGCTAATGTCAAATGACAAATTCTTAACATAAGCACAGAATGATAAGACAAACTTGAGTACAATTAGTATATAATTAATTACTGTAATTAAGTACAATTAATAAAAGTGTAAAAAACATTCAATTTTTCAACCAATAGTTACTACTAAAATATTACTCAGATTAATTATATTATAATATAAAATTATAAGACCTTTGAAAGTTGAGGTAATTTCCTAATCACTTTTGAGGTTATGTTATACAGTCGAACCTAACGCACTGCCTGCTCTCGGGAGTAGCCGACCCGTGCACTGCACGCCGCGTGTCAGCCAATCAGAGCGTTGGACCAGGTGTGCGTATACTCCCGCTGGTGAGCGGAGATCTGAGGGGCCCGAATAAATTTGACACCGGAAAATATTATACGCGCTATACTTTCTAGAGAAAAACAGTAAATTTGATGGTTAAAAATATATTCCTTACTAAACAAAAGTAAATATTAATGCATATTTTCCACGTGGCTTGGGTAATTAAAAAAATGCTTCATTGATGAAAATAAATAATGTTTTTTGAGTATTGCTTTTTCGTGGTATTTAAATTTTAATGAAATATTAAGGTTAAAAATGTTTCTCATTGACAAATAAATATTTCAATAATGCTTATTATTCAATCCCGGAAATGTTTATTTTTCAATGAAATTACATATAGAGAAAAATAGGAAACTTGTATTTTTCCAAACCTAAATTCTAAAAGTTGTTTATAAATATTACATATTTACAGTGCACAATTTTGAAAAAATTGAGTTTTCAATTTCTAAAAAATATTTAATAGATCAAAAATTATTAACAGTTAAACTTGCAAAAAAAGTTAATTTTTCAATTATTAACTTTTTAAAAATGTATTTTAAAAAAAAACTACAAGAGACGTTTTCATTTTAAAATGACCCAAATTATCTATAAAAAATTATTTTATTAAAAAAGAATTATTTGTACACGATTATTTAAACAACTGAGTTTTAAACAAAGCCTAGGGGTTTGTCGTAAAAATTATTAGTACCATTGGATTCAGCAGGTAAAAATACATAAGATTTACATGGTTTTTACTTTCTGCCGTCTTAGAGTATACGGGATGATACCCGGTTCCCGGATTGGCAGTATACGGCAGTGTCTGCCGCGCAGTGCTTAGGGAGAGAGAGCGCGCAGTGCACGGGAAAAGGCAGTGCGGTAGGAGGTAGTGCGTCAGGTTCGACTGTATGAAATGGCAAAGTTGGATTATTGTGAATTCTTAGGTTGACAGCAATTTATTGTATGCGATTTTCTTGTCTACAGTGGAGATTCAGCCTAACCAAGTCAAATACCTGTACTTTTTTACACGTACTTCACAACGCTGGTACTATTGAAAGAAAAAACATTTACTTTTAACGATGATTGAACAAGTATTCCAACTACCATAATGAGAATAATTCACACTTAATTCAAAAAATAAATTCCAAAAAAACATCGTCAAAATCTTGAAATATGTAATATAAATCATCATTTTCCATTATAGAATGATATTAACTCTATCGTTAATTGTATTAAAAAAAGGTTATTGTTATTACATTGTGTAAAGTATTGTTTCAATTACTAATTATGCTCAAATATGATAAAATTATCTATTACAAAACTATAGAAATAAATAAAGCTAAGATTTTATTCCTTCTAATGAAAATACATGGATAAGTTTGGATCAATAAAGGCATCGACATACGTATTTTTTATAAATCTTGAAAATTACGAAATTGAGTATGTTAACAAATAATCGCTTTCGATAAAAATGTGTCGAATTTGAAGCCTAAATTCTTCAGATTCTCATAATTATTGTTCTTAATTATTTACATTTTAGCTTATGAAATTATTAAAATATTTTTATTATAAAAATGTTCACGGCTAAGTTAAATTATTTTGAAATATTAAAAAAATCTTGCTAAATTAAAATTACTAACGTGAATAATTTTACTTTTTATGCTCTATACCGCTATTTCGTGTAATTTTATATTGAAAAAAGAAAATGTGTATATGTGTGTATGTAAAACTCATATATGTCAGATAGAGACATATTACTTGTAAAAAATAAAGCCGACCGATTGATTTAATGAATAAAAATTATTCCACAATATATAATAATTAATGTATCAATAAATACGCATTAATGAAACTAAATGTATTTATAAAAAAAATTGATATGACTATTAATCCAAATTTACCTACATATATTTATTAAAACGAACGATTGCGCATATTGACTTCCAAAACTTTGGACGTTTCATCATATTTATTCATAAGTATTGAAAAAGAACTACAGAATGTAAGTACTGAAATTTATTAAATATAATTAAAAGTAGGGTCATGTGACAGCTGTTTAATTGAAAATGATTATTTACATTACACATTTTAAGGATTCAACGATGTTTTTTCTGCATTTATTCTCTCAAGTCTGAATATTTCTGATTTTACAATTTAAAAGTCAATATTTGAAATTCAACATATTATGCTTTAAATAGTACCGACATTGCGAACTACGCGTAAAAAAGTACATACGTACGTAACTTGGTTACCGTACGACTACGAGTACTACGACCAAATGATTATAGAATTCCGCCCCAGAGGGACCAGTTGGCAGTCAGCCTGCGAGCTGCAGACGTAGTAGGTGTTGCAGCAGAGAATTAAGTGCGTCATCTCGTATACGTAGTGACGTTATTAATTGAAGAAAATCATTTCACGAGACTACTTTTGCGTTGTCAACCACACGTGACGCAAGACCAAAGTCTTTTGGTAATTATAAAAAAAGCAAAGTTGCTCGCACGCGTGTCCTAAATGAAGATGCTTTCCAGCGTACACCACGCTGCGCGTGTAGCCATCGATTGCGTCGATTTCATACGTTTCCTATCGACACGTGGTCATTGATAAATTATCGCATAGCTTTTCTGTCGAGTTCGTCGAGTGTTTTTTGCTATGTGTCATCGCGAAACAACGCAATAGTTTCAGATAATAAGTTTTAGTTGGGGAGGGAGAGTAGTGCATCAGGCTGCGAGCGGAAGTACCGTATCGGCCATCTTGTGCGTCGTCTCTTAGTCGGCCATTCTTTTTTAGAGCTGCCTCTGCAGCAGCAGTTCGACTAAACTGCGAATCGTTGTCGCCGTTGCACGTGCGTTCGTCGTATTAGAAGACGACGGTCGATCGCGTCGTGTTTTAACGTACGAACCTAAAAAAGAACATAAATTTTTCGTAGCTTTCCTCTTTGTTCCTGCGCACGCGCGTGACTTTTGGAATTGTCGTTGGCATTCTCCGCTATCTCCTCGTTTCTCTTCTCTAACTGGTACTAAAAAATTTCCACTTTTCTCTGTCTTGTCTCTGCAGAGTTGTGCGTGTAGTAGAGCGTCCTACCCTCTCCACGAACAGTTTTTAGCCAAAAACAAGTTGTGTGATACGTTTATCAGTATATAGGTGCAAGTTTTGTTAGTGTGTATCTCACTGAAAAAGAAGAAAATAAGCGAGTGAGTGTGAGCCAAAGCAGCAACGCAGCAAGCACGACCAGAGAAACACACAGCGCACCGAGGCGGAGTAATATGAGTAATGCACCCAACCAAAATGGGTCAGGTCTAGAGCAGCAAGTGAGTACATTCCAAAATATACAGCCTTGCGCCCAATCGATGATATGCAAAACGTCTAACGGTACTACATCGTCGTCAACATACGCCACGCTCTCTTGGCTTTTTCCAAATGAGAAAGTTTATCGATCGCGCGCAATGACGAAATTTTACTCGTTGTCGTCTGTCTCGCCACGTGGGAAATTATAAAGGCTTATCCCTCAATGCCATTTTATATTTCCATTGAACGAGAACATGTCCTGAATTGATTGTTATCGTCAAGTAACGAAATTAAAAGAAAACTAATTTTTTTTATCAAATTTTCAGATAGCTGGTCTGGACTTGTCAGACAACCGCCAACCAAGCGGTGGTCGCTACGTTCCACCTCATCTCCGAAAGGGAGCGAGTAAGTGGATCTCTTCTTGTTATATTTCAAACATTCATTTTAAGTTTTAAGAGTTATGCACTCAGTCTTTGTTTATATTTCCATACTGTGTCGTAACGATATTTCCCCGCTTTCGCTACAGTATGATTCACGGAACTTACGAAGTGTGGGATTTCACGCGCGCAGCTGCAATTGCGCAAGGACAACCGGAGTGCTTTATCTCTCGCGAAATTTTATTCTAAAAAATTTTTTCCGCTTTTATATGCACTCTTACGTAATTATCACTTTATTTACTTCGCATCGTTCGATTCGGAATCCAACAGGATTTATTACATTATTCGAAAGTTAGCAAAGTTTGCTTAAAAAAGGCGGAAATTCAAAAATACCAGCTAGAGATTTCAGGAAAGAATGCAAATCACTAATGATAACTGCCATGGTTTTTATGCGCAAATCGTAGACGTCAGAACGAGCACATGAATATTCGTACAGACTAAATCACGGAAAATATCATTTTTTCTTCTATTGTTAATTTCACGTCATTCTACAACTTGAAATTTTCGTTTGTATCAATTACTAATCATTTAAAAATTGTGTTCCCAGCAGATTCATATTCGGACGGCCACGACCGTGCTCCCCCACCACCACCACCGTCGTCGTCTCGCTTCCAGGACCGCGGCGGCGATCGTGACCGTGGCCGTAGCGGCTTAGGTGGCGGCTACCGCGACTCTCGTGGTGGTGGCGACGGTTACAGGCGTAACGACGCCGACTTTGGCAACTTCGGCGGACGTAATCGCCGTCAAGAAAATGGCCGCGATGGAGGCGGTTATGGTGGACGCTATGATCGTCGCGACGACGATCGTCGCGGAGGCGATGACAGACGTAGCACTGGTTCCGGAGGTTTGCCCTCTGGCAATGATCGTTGGCAGGAGCCGAGGAACGATCGCTGGCAGGAGCTGCCGAGGAATGACAACAGAGGAGGAGGTAGGCTTTGTTGTTTTATAATACGTACAAATTGTCATTCGATATCTTTTTTCCTTTATTATCCAATCTGATGCATTACATCATGCTATTCATTATTGCATCACACTCTAAACTTTGACGTTCAATGTGTCTGCTATAAACCTTCTATAATCATTTTTCTTTGTAGGAATTCATATTATAAAATAAATTTTCATTATTTTAATTGTCTATGTGACAGGTCGTTGGAAAGAAGATGACGGTAGACGTGGTGGCAAGGAGATCGACTGGACAGTTCCACTCGCAAGAGACGAGAGGGCCGAGAAGGAGCTCTTTGGCGAGAAGAGCACGGGTATCAACTTTAGTAAATACGAGGATATCCCGGTTGAGGCATCCGGTGACAATATCCCGGCACACATTTCATCTGTAAGTTTCTTTTAAATATATCAATTCCGCATTTTGACCATGTTATACAGTTTCGATGCGATAATCTACATCGCTTCGAAAAAGAACGCATGGAAAATTAATCGACGTTTCTTTGATTTGGGAATTCAGTTTTGTTGAACTTTGTTCTCAGTGTACAAACGTAACAGATTAATAAACACGTTATCATTCTATTCATTACAATTTAATTATCGGAGAATTCCAAGTATAGAAAAGTATCGAGTAATATTTTGTTATTTTATCGATAACACGTTTAATAAAATAATTGCTATTTTTTATAGTTCGACGAGGTTAAGCTGACGGAGATTATCAAGAATAGCATAAATCTCGCCGGTTACGATATGCCCACACCAGTGCAAAAGTACGCGATCCCGATAATCATCAATCGTCGTGACGTGATGGCATGTGCACAGACGGGTTCGGGTAAAACGGCCGCATTTCTCGTGCCGATACTTAATCAGATTTACGAGAGTGGCCCGTCGCCTGTACCTCATAATCCAACTGGGCGTCGCAAGCAGTATCCATTGGGTTTGGTGCTGGCACCAACCCGTGAACTCGCCACTCAGATATACGATGAGGCACGCAAGTTTGCCTACAGATCGAGAATGCGTCCTGCAGTGTTATACGGTGGTGCCAATGTCATCGAACAAATGCGCGAACTTGATCGCGGTTGCCATTTGCTCGTTGCTACACCTGGACGTCTCGTCGATATGCTTAGCAGAGGCAAGATTGGCTTGCACAATTGTCGGTAAGTTTTTTTTAATTTTAATAATCTTGTTCCATATGATACAGTTTCAAAACGGTTAATCTAAATACTTTGAAAAAGGGAAGCATGGAAACTAGAAATTCGTTTTTAGATTAGGAATAAAATTTTAATGGCATTAATTGTATTAATTAATAAACTGGAATGTTTCTTTTTGAATGTTATAGCTACTTAGTACTTGATGAGGCTGATCGTATGCTTGATATGGGTTTTGAGCCTCAGATTCGACGCATTGTTGAAGAAGACAATATGCCTCCTACCGGAGAACGTCAGACGCTCATGTTTTCGGCCACGTTTCCAAAAGAGATTCAAATTCTTGCTCGTGATTTCCTTAGCAACTATATATTTTTGGCCGTTGGCAGAGTCGGCTCCACCTCTGAAAATATTACTCAAAAAATCGTTTGGGTTGAGGAACACGAGAAACGCTCGTATCTTCTTGATTTACTTCAGGCTGCTGATTTTAATAATGAAACGAGTATGTATTAATCACTAATTTTTTAAATTATCAGATAAATATTTTATAAATATGAATTAATTACAAATTATTACTCTACATTTACAGATACTGAGGCTTTGACACTGGTGTTCGTTGAAACAAAGAAAGGGGCCGATATGTTGGAAGAGTTTCTGCACCAGCTCAATTTCCCCGTAACCAGTATCCACGGTGACAGATCGCAGTATGAGCGTGAGGCTGCTTTGCGTAGTTTCCGCGCTGGTCAGACGCCAATTTTGGTTGCAACTGCTGTCGCTGCTCGTGGTCTCGATATTCCTCATGTAAAACATGTTATCAATTTCGATCTACCTGGTGATGTCGAGGAATACGTCCATCGTATTGGTCGTACTGGACGTATGGGTAATCTTGGTAAGTATGTTTTCTTGCGAAATTATAAATTATTTAAATTTACAAAATTTGGTACTAATTTTTACTTGTGTGAACTGTAGGTTTGGCGACGTCATTCTTCAACCATAAAAACGCCAATCTTGTTCGCGATTTGGTGGCATTGCTGATGGAAGCTAATCAAGAGTTACCTCAATGGCTCGACAACATGTATAGCGACTCTAGACACGGTGGTGGCGGCGGTGGTCGACGACCTGCATCAAAGGGTAGCCGCTTCAGTGGAGCATTCGGAGCCAGAGATTATCGTCAGTCGAGCGGTGGACCGCCTGGACGCAGTAACGGTTCTGCCAAGTCTGGTGGTTATGGAGGTAAACATTTGATTTTATATTGTTGGAGATGTTAATTTCACTCTTTAGTTCAATTTGATGATTGTTTCTATTCTGCTAAAGGTTACGGTGGTGGCGGTGGTGGTTACGGCGGTAACTACAACTCTTATAACAATTCCGGCAACAATAGCAATAGCAATGGTGGCGGCAGCGACTGGTGGTGAACGTGAAGCAAATTTTAGAAGCATCACTTTAAAAAGTCACCTGCACAACCGTCTACGATGCTACCATTATAACTACTATTCTACAGGCAAATTCAACTATATTTAAGAAAGTCACGCGAGGCGAACACATAGACCGACATTAAATACAAGAATTATCTAAATAGACATGCGCGCGAGCGCGTACAAAAAGGCTAACAAATTATAAGTCGTATACGTCGACACGATGTAACACATAAACACATGCGTATACACGTACACATACGTATATATCTCACATATACATACACGCGCGCGAAAATGAAAAAAATATCTACATAGTAGGCAAACAATTTACGAGACATATTTGCAAGTAGTGTTAACACTATTTACGAAGATTGCCAGTGTGCATTATTAAACTCGAAACATTGGCAGCCATCAAAGAAATTATGTAACGTGATTGTTTTCTGATTCCATGAGAGAAAAAGAAATGACAAAATGAAAATATGCGAATGTGCAATGATTGCAAAAAAAGAGACATAGGCGGGAATCTTTGAAGCGTTATTATTTCTTTTTACTTCTTTTTTCCCTGAACAAGACGAGGGACTTTGCGGCCTTGTCTCGTTGCGCCAACTAGCGCACGTGTTAGTAGAATTTTTCATTTTACTTAATTAATCAAACAAAACATAGAGCTACTTCGTGCGTTGCTTACTCGATGTTTAGAAGCGAACAGTTGATTTAACGGGTATAACGCATGAGAAATAAAAAAAGAAAAGAAAAGAGCGTTTAATTGCGCGCTTTTTTTTTTTTTTTTAAACTTAGTTGAATTTATAAATGGATACTCGTGTCGAATATCAAATGATTTTTGCGACATTTAAGTGAGGCTCGTTGTGACTTTTTTCATAAATAATCGAAGAAAAAAATTCTTCGCTCGTTATCTCCACGAGCATCTATTACAATTTAATATTATAATTATTATTACTTTTTTTTTCTTTCGACTTAATATTATTCTAAATCGACGAATGGTACTTTTGTCCTTTGCCGTCCCTAAACAATTATAAAAGAGAGACGAAGAGAAGCTTATAAAAATGAAATCAACACAAGTATACTAAAGATTCTATCGAGCACATGAACACATGCGACAAAGAAAGTGTAATAAAATAAATACACGCGCGCACGCTTCTTCATGAGAAAAAGAAAAATGAATTCCAACTTGCTAGACTTAAAAAGAAAAGCGTAGAGGAGGTGTGCCTACCTTTCTGCGGCTGTTATTATTGTAATTTATTTATTTATTTTTTCCTTTTTTGTTTCCTCATCGCAAACAAATGAGCGCGCATTAACCCGTACTCGAGCATCTTTCATGTGTTATAATAATCGAAGACATTTGTTGTGTGTGTTTACGCCGATCTTCTCTATGAACATACGTTTGTGTAAAAAAAAAACCAAATAAGATAGATCGTCGTTTACGGCTTTGGAGGACATCAATTTACAGATAGAAAGAGAAAAAACTTTGTCCCGCAAACAAAAAATCGAGCGTATTTTCTCTTTTCGTTCGCGTTTATTCGAATATAAAATCGGGAGGGGGCGTAAAACTAAGGTTGCAGTTACAGGAGCAGCTTATAAATACACATGATAGATGGGAAGAATTGTATGTATGTTGCTTGTGCGTTGAGTGTATGTGTGCGCGATAACAAAGGAAAACAATTAATTCATTTAGCGGCTCGCGACAAAATGAAAAATTTTGAACGAAATATACAGAAGAACCCCGTATTGAAGTGTAAGCCGTCGAGAGCATATTCGCATTGAGACAACTTTTTTGTATTTTGAACGCGGTATGATGTGCGCTGTACGTATTATAAATAACGTTAAAATGATAAGCATAAAGTTAACGTACCGTAAAAGTAATTAAAAAAAGAACAACAAGATTATTTAAACAAAAATAAAAAATGACGACTGTGATATTGAACGATCTTGTGAACATTCGATTATAAAAGCGCGAAACGCGTCTGGGGAATAAGAATTTCTTTGTCGCGAAAAAAGGAATAGACATGCAAGAACACGGGTGAATAACACAAGCTCGCAATAATATTAACAGAGACAAAAAACCTCGAGAAAGATTATAGCAGAAAAGGGAGGTCAAGTTGAAAAGCGAATTGCGCTGTCCGATGTCGCGTCAGGGAGGGATGAACGAGTTGATGAGAGATATAAGAAGAGAAAAAACAGCCTCGGGAGAGAGAGAGAGAAACAAAGAGAGCGAGGGACCGAAGAATGTAAAAATCTAGTTGATCTAGAGTCATACTGGTTGTAAATAAAAAAGAAACAGAACAAATGAACTTAAGAGATGAAATCTATTTGATAATAACAGCTCCAAATATATTACGATGTAAGTTTTCAAATGCTTTGTTTATAAATTTTTCGTCGTAGATTTAAAAGGAACTAGTCTTTTGCCGACAGGGTTCAGGGCAAAAAGTTGCAACACACTATTGCAACACACGAAACGAATCATTAGCTAAACTACTTTTCTGGATAAATAAAAAAAAAGTGAAAAAGACTGATCCCTCTCTCTGTCTTTCTCTCTCACGCTTTTTTTCACATACTTACACACATTTACATACATGCAGAGAGTCAAAGTACAAAGCTTATTGCAGGGAAAGGGGAGGAGGAGAGATGATTATGAATTGCGCTGGTCGCGGCGCGCACGTGGACCAACGATTCGTTCATTTTTTTTTCTTCGTTTTATGTCTTGATAATTTCTTGGCTTTTTTGAAAGTAAATCAAATAATGTAAATGTGATATTTTATCTAATCATTAACTAGCAAATGAAAAATCTTTGATTTCAGTATTTTTACGTCTTTTATTATTATTGTTATTATTATTACTATTACGATTACTATTATTATTATGATTATTATTATTAATCTTGCTCACTTTGAGTAATACAATACAGTTTTTAAGCCCAAGAAATTTTTCGAGAGTTCGTATAATGCAATATATTGCGAGACTCTTATTCTGCGAACGCATCAATTCTTTGACGTTCTGCATTTCTTCTTTTGACCTTTAACTTTATTACCGTACTACTCTTTTTATTTATTCTTTTGTAACCTATTTTATGAATGATGAATTAATTTGATTTTACGCTCCTTATGCCGATCGCAATTCAAAAAAATGTCAGTAGTTTTCTGATTTCGGGTGGAAATTGGTTCGTTAATGCAAATCAATTAAGGACTCGAAAGAATAGTAAATTACGACATAAGTGCGTACATGTATACATACACAACATGTACCGTACCGTATTTCTTGATACGACGTGTGATAAGTGCGATTTTAAACGCACGTTTTTTGCCGAGCGTGCGGGAAAGACGCACGTTGCGCACGGAGTATCGAAAACAATTTTTTTAAATCAACCGTTTAACGTATTTATCGGACGTGAATGAATTTCTATTTTAAAAACAAATCGAAAAGCTTTGACATTTGAATGCATCTAGAGCGAACATACGACGAATTGGTTATTCGTCTTGGTCTTTCTCGTAAAAAAGAACAACAATGAAAATTCCAGGGTCACAATTGAATGTGAGAGTAGGCGCGGATTGATAGAAAGGGAGAGAGAGGATGTTATAGCGTAATTAGTTGGACAAAAAAGATAACTCGCGAGACGCTTGGCGTGTATCGTCTATATTGTCATGATTAATTTATCGTCGTCTTTTCTTTCGTCGTAATTCGTCGAAATGGTTCCTTAGGCGCGAGCGCCAACGTTGTACATATAGGGTGCCTGAGTCGAATTTACCAAATATTCGACTCGCCGTTCTAATCTTTCGTATCCTCCGTTTAACCATTTTTTTCATTCGTTCGTTCGTTTAATTTTTCTTCTTTTTTTTAACTAGGACGTGTAAAAAGAAAGAACTCGCGCGTATATCGTTTAGTCCTCCGCGAGTGGTGTTTCTATCGGACAGTCGTCGACGGACGTCAAAGGTCATTTAAAATATAACATCGGTGCGCGGGCCGAGCCTTCTGCGCGCTTTAGACTTTAGTAGTAATGATGAGTGAATGAAGATCGAGTGCCTGCTTTATTGATGATGATGGGATGGAAGCTTATTATAATTATTAAAAAAAAATGGAATAATAAATAAAACAGATGATGTGTACAGAGAGGTGATGATGGATGATGGGACATAAAAGAAATATAAAATTTTTTGAATTTAAACAGCGAAAAAGAGATAAAACACGTTGACTGTGACTGCAATCATTATGTACCAAGGAAGCTGTATATCATTTTTTTGGGCATGAAATACTGACGCGACGTGCGAGAATATAAACTAACTTCGTTTCATGATATACGTTATAGTATTTTTTTTTGCCTTTCTCCATATAAGCCGTCGGCCATCGAAATCACAGAAATCCGTTTCGATGGTAAGCACACCTGTGGATTATATTGTGTACGAGTGTGAAATAACAAGTGATCAAAGGGCTTAATTTATTGTTGTATACGGTACTTTTATTTTTTACTCTGTCCTGAGTGTATGTCTGTGTATGGTATTTCATGCATATAAAACTTGCGCGTTAGCGAAAATCGGTATGTCGCACAAGAAATCAATTTTTTCTTTTAATTGTGTTCTTCGAAGCTTGTTTATTTTTTATAATTTGAAAACAGAATTTTCAAGAAAACAAAAAATCTCTCGCACGTTCGCCACGACGAAAAGAAATATAGCGGGGGCGGAGACAAGTGCGTTTTAAAAGCGGAACGGTGACGTACCATTCTGTCGGTCTTTTATTAGTAATTAAAATATTTACACTCTACGTTAGTTGACAGCAGAACGTGAAGATGAAAAAATGCAAAATAATGTTTGAAATTGATTTAAGAAAAACAAACAATTGCAACAATTTGAATTAGATGAATCTATAGATTCACTGTACGTCGTACACGTGTAAAATCAGAAAAAATAATAATAAAGTGAGATAGAAATCTCAACAAATGATGCCGGTTATGGCTTTCACGAAAAAAAAAAACACTTTCTGTTATCTATCATATCCTTTCCAACGTCCTTCCATTAAATTGTAAGGCATCTAATAATTACAGAGGAAATCATCTTTGATTCCGACGATCTAACTAATTGTCTGATAAGTGATTATCGTCGATTGTTGATTACGTAATATTTTATTATATTCAAAATATTTTGATGCGTCGCTTTTTATTCAAAATGAATTCCACGTTTGTCAAGTAAGTGTCGATGTGAATAGGATTTCCTTTTGAAATGATTAAACCACGTAACAAGATTATGAAATACACAGTAGACAGCAACCGTAATCAATCAAGAGAAGAATCCAGCAGCATAACGTATGCCCAGACAAGGTAAAGTTAGTCTCAAGCTCTCGCGGTATACGTCATACATAGTTTGTTCCAGGTGAAAGAAAGAGTGAATGCTGACGATGTAAGCTTCCTTTTTTTTTAGAGTCCAGCTCTACTTCAATGCAAAATGTTTTATATGGAAATGTGCAGAATGAAAGTTGTTGTCGTACGACAAAGTATTTTGCATTGCAATTGATCTTTTTTATTTAAATTTCACATTGAAAGATTAAAATTGTTACAGTTACAGAATAGTTACAATTAATGTTTTTCCATTAGTTATATAATATTGTAGAAAATACCGTTATCATTGTGAAACTAGAGCAAACACTTAAGCAAAATACTCAGGTAAATTATCACGATGGATTCACATCTGGATATACACGTGACATTTTTCTATATTTATATATAACAAAAAGTTATTTTTAACTCTTGCGAGATTGTATGATTCCTCTGGTCATACTTACATTAGTTTCTTTGTTTCTAATAGGAATATTCAAGTCTTTGAAGCTATTCTAATAATAAGAAATACTCTATATTATTTTTGTCATGTTTTAATTGTACAATAAAAAAAGTAGGATTTTGTAAAATTCTTGTGTAAATCTTGTGTAGGTGGCGACGTGTGTTGAAAGAAACAGTGAGAATGCCTTACTTCATAACTATACAAAACCACAGGTCAATCTCAAGTATTTATTTCTTTCTTCTGCTTATATTTTTTAATTATATTTGAATAAGATTAAAAAATAATTTTACAATCTCGTTGAAATAAACGTTTATTAATGTTGCGTTGTCTCCAAGTTTTGTCAGAAGTTAATTATCAAATTCAAATAAATAAAATTATTAAAATTCCGATAAAATGTCCAAATTATTAAGAAAGACAGGAAACATCGCCGCAAGACATCGTATTCAAATCCACAGCTGTAGAGGCAATAGTCAAAATCGCTCACTGTTAAATCGGCAATTCAAAAAGCCATCCATTCCCAAACGAACACACACTTGGGTTCGCCAGCTGGTTAGACTCAACTCGCCACCTAGCGATGTGCGTTGGACCAATGGCGTGAGACCACGAACGCGATGGCGCGTGCTGCTCTCCACCGGGAGTCTGACATAGTCGTTGCCGTAGCAGGAATTGCAGTGGATTTTTGATTTTAAGCCAACGTACACCGAGCAACGTCAAAAACACGCAATCTGGATTTCACAAAGTCGTCATGTATCGTTGCGGGCTGCTGCTGGTCCTTCTCAATTTCGGTCACGACGGTGAGTTACTAATTCGGAATGTCAATCGATTAGACGACGTTTTTTGTTACTTTTATTTCATCAGTGTTGACTACATTTTCTAACCTTCGTTGCGTTGTGATATACAGTGACTGCGTCGACGTCGAAAGGTGTCGAAAAACTCTTAGAGCTTGGCACAGATTTCTTGTCGACTGGCAGGTATCAGGATGCTCTGTCGTATTTTCACGAGGCTGCTGGTAAGTTAATAATTGTGCCATGTTCTAAATTAATAATCGTGCTATAGCACGATGATGACTGACAGGTGTACATGTGTTTTCGTTTTATAGAACAAGATCCTGGCAATTATGTGACATTTTACAAGAGAGGAACTGTATATTTAGCATTAGGGAAAGCCAAACAAGCTTTGTTAGATTTTGATAAGGTTTTAGAATTTAAGCCTGATTTCACTGCTGCTAGAATCCAGCGCGGTACTGTTCACTTGAAACATGGAGATTTAGATAAAGCAGAATTAGATTTTACTAATGCTGTGAGTATTGCACAAGGCCCTCCTCTGTATCATGAGGTTAACAAATTGATAATTGTGTGTTATTCTTGTTTGTAGCTTATAGTATATCCTGATCATGAAGGAGCCATCAATAGTATTCATAACACTAGGATAGCTAGAGATCAAATTCAAAGTGCAGAGACATACTTGAGGCATGGAGATTATTATTCAGCTTCACAAGTTTTAACGCAGACCATTGAGATTTGTTCATGGTCATCTTATCTTAGAGAATTGAGAGCCAAGTGCAGAATACAATTGGGTGATTATGCTGGCGCAGTCTCTGATATTAGGTCTACGACAAAATTAACAGCTGACAATACTAAAGGATATTATGAACTCGCTAAACTGTTATATCAACTTGGTCAAGTTCAAGATTCTCTCAAGTAAATTGAACTATTGTATTTTCATAACTCAGCATTGTTATCCATGTATTGATGATGATGATTCGCTTTGCAGGGAGATTCGAGAATGTTTAAAACTTGATCCAGAGCACAGGGATTGTTTCCCATTCTATAAAAAAGTTAAGAAAATAGCTAAGTTTTTAGAAGATGCAGAATCTGCCTCAGAGTCGAGTGAGTGGGACAGTTGTATCGATAAATCGAATCGCGTACTTAAAAATGAACCGACGTTAGATAACGTAAGGTTAACGGCGCTGAGAATGTTGTGCAAATGTTACACTTCGAATTCCGAAGCTGACGAGGCGGTTAAGAACTGTCGCGCGGCATTGGATATTCAACGGGATCCAGAAACGTTATGTGATAGCGCTGAAGCGTATCTTGCCGGTGATATGTTTGACGATGGTGAGTGCTTTTTGTCTTTTCTTATCAGTAACATTGCTAAGCTGTGATATGTAACAATTTTGCATTATTTGTATTTCCTGAAATGTTTATCTTATTTATAAGAATTATAATTTTTGTAGAATCAACTAATTAATCTCACATAAAGAAAGCTACAATTGGCTTTTAATTAGTTTTATTTTAAATTTGTCATAACTTTATTTGAAGTATATATTTTTTTGTGAAATAGTGGAAGAAAAAAAACCATTATCTAATGTTTAATCTTCTTATTTCAGCTATTCGGGACTACAAAGAAGCCCTAGACATTGATTCGAACAATCAGCGAGCAAAGCAAGGTCTTCAAAAAGCCCAACAACGTCAAAAGCAGTCAGAATCCCGTGATTACTACAAAATCCTAGGGGTACCTCGCAACGCGAAGAAGCAACAAATCATTAAAGCATACCGGAAAGCCGCGCAAAAGTGGCATCCCGATAATTTTCCTGACGCAGAGGAGAAGAAACGCGCTGAAAAGAAATTCATTGATATCGCCGCTGCTAAAGAAGTGTTAACGGATGAGGAAAAACGCGCGAAATTCGACAGGGGTGAAGATCCATTGGATCCTGAAAGTGGCAAACATTCAGGTTTTAATCCCTTCCAGGAATTTCATCACTTCCAACAAGGAGGCTCACCTTTCCAGTTTAAGTTTCACTTCAACTAAAGTTTGACGACGACAATGAATACGACAATGACGATGAGCTTTCACAAATGACTGATTGTTCCAAAGACACACTGGTGCCGAGAGACTTCCAAGTGATTTTGTGAGTGATTTGCGAGGCATCGGGTATGGGTAAAACGCGCGAATTAGTTTTTTTCAACTTGTGTTATTTTACATTTGTTCTCTTTTACCGATACCCAATGCTGTATTGACCCCTTGTCTCTCTTTTGCGGTTAAGAGCTGTGCGCGTGACTGTGCGTAACGTTAATATTTGTAAATAATCTTGTAATCAAAAGTGTCCCGATCATTGATTTAAGAATATATACTTCAATTATTTATACGTAAAACAACAACTATCAAGCTGTGTTTATTAATTTCAAAAATGTACGAATTTGGCATCTTTTTAGTCTTTTTTCTTCTTTTTTGGATTTTTTGGTTTTTTTGATTTTTTTTTCTTTCTTTTAGCAGCCAGTTTGAATATTGCGTCAAATGGACCTAATCTATGTCTAACCATGTATCCACGCCAGATGGATTGTATGATTGTTGCTTGTTCGTTGACCGTTTTCCAGTATTCATTCTCATCATTTATTTTCTTTTGTTCTTCCATGTATTCATCGACCACGACTTGTCTTTCTTTCTGTAGATCTCGTATTTTTTCAAGAGATTCTTGGAGTGCCTCGATGCTTTCCTATACATTCCAATAATATTTATTTGAATAATTCCATTAATCATTTTTTAATCTAAAAATTTGTAAACGATAGTTTGCCAATTAATAAATTAGGTTAACATTTTTTAAAATATCGAGGATAGAAAGAAATAAAAAAAAAGCAAGCTTATGTTAAAGGAAATTAGACCTGCAATTGATTAATTTCTTGCTGTCGTTTTTCAAGTTCCTCGTGATATCGTTCAGTCCAACTGGCAATTTCATTTTCACAGCTGTAAATAGCCGATTTCCCGTAAGATTGTAATTCTTCCGAGACTTTAGCGTCACGTTTACGTTCTATTTCTAATTCCTTGATTTCATTTAGCACCGATTCTTCGTGCACTGTTAGTCGATAATTATGTTGCTCTAATTTCGACTTTTCCCATCTTCTTATATAATCTGTGAGCAAACACACATTGTTATCAAGTTCAAAGAATAATCGAGTCTAGAAAATGTTGTATTATACCTAATTTATCTCTATTGTCACAATACGAAGTGTCGATTTCCGCAGCTAATTTCTCGAAATCCTCGGTATATTCACTTTTCTTTTTTTCGAATTCATCCTTGATCTGCTTTTGAGATTCGCGTAGCTTTTTTATCAGATCCAACCAAATTTTTCGGTTGATTTCGAGATATTTCTCTTTCTCTTTAGAATCGATTATTGTATTGACTTCGCAACGAAGCCAGTCGTATGTGCCACGTTGACGAAGTTCGCATGCAACTTTTTGAAAAACGTTACAGACTAAATCTCTAAAAGGAGAATAATGCATAATCGAATTTAAAAAAATTGTCACGAATAAATGGATCACTTTATATTTTTAAGTTGTGAATTTTTGTTATTTATATGTAGATAAATTTAAATGCCGTTATTTTTAGCATTCGAATAAATTTTTACTATGAAAATAGTTTTATTCTAGTTAGCTTTTTAATTTACTTGCGTATACTGATCGGAAATTAAAATAATATTCGCTACATTGCAAAGTAGCGAAGAAAAGAAGAACCTTCTTATACCGACAATTTGTACCATGTACAATATAGTTGTGAATGATAAATAAAAATAGATTGGTAAGATATTTTCTTTTTTATCAATACTCACCTATTATCATATAATTTTTCCGAGATACTCTTAACGACAGGTACATAGCCAGCATCTCTTCCAAAAATCAATTTACATTCGTCGTCAACTGAGCAACTACCTGGTTTCCTCATCATTATCCGCTGGTTTCTTTCGTTAGCGTCAATATCTTTCTTAACGGTGTGTTTCAACACTTCGAGCGCATCGATAGCATCCTGTAGAATCTCAGCGAAAGCAAAAGCTTCGAACTCGCCGAGAGCGTCGACATCCGGGAACTCGAAGGACATGCTACGTACACCGATGTTATCCGACGGACAGCTTAGTAGTACGTTGTCCGACGCGGCATTTGAACCTTTCAACACTGACGCAAGCATTGGCGGATCCAAGGCCTTGCTTGTATTTCAAACAGGTCCATATATTATGGATTCAAATTTGTACAGGATGATAAGAAAAAGTGAAGCATACGCATTGGCAAGAGTAAGCATTGTTCGATTCTCTGCCAGCCGATGTGCCGGTCCGATTTGCCGTATCGACGGTTCTTTCAGTTCTTTCTCGCCTCAAGTACTTTGCTATTTCGATCATGCTGATTTTTTTCTCTTTCGTCGCCTCATTTTCCACGCTCGAGTCCGACGGCGACGACTCCTCGTCGGTCTACCGCAGTTATTGATCATTCGTACGCAGGGAAAAGGCGTTTGAAAATAAATTACCCAAGTTTCCATCTTATCTTCCGTAGTATTGTTTTGTTTTTGCACTTGTTCTCTTTGTTACATCGTTATATACTTATATCAATCAATTTTGACATTTTTCAAACTCGACTTTCTTCGCCACATGAAGGTTGCGATAAATAATCGCCGTTTTTTCGACAGTCATTTGGATAATATATCGTTTACGATCAATGCAATTACAATGACTATTTCTCTCGAAAAATATATTCTCTGTCTTACTCGCGAACAAATGCGAATAAACTATAGATTATTTCAATAGCGAGGAACTCAGTTCCCATTATATAACACCTAAAATATACATCGTTATTATTTATATTTTCCTATGTTCATGCATTTAGTTATTATTTTTTAAATTTGCTATCTATTGTCTGTTCTTCGACATGGCACTTACGATAAAACTTTTTTCAGAGTGAACATTATCTTAAAGCACATCGTATACTTTCTTTTTTCATGAACATTTACTCTAAGGAGAACGAAAAGAAACGAATTTCGTACTCTCCAACTAATTACACGCGCAAAAATACTCGGGCGGTAAGCTCTTCCAGACTATAGGCTTGATTATTCTACGAGATTCGCTCCGGCATAATCGAATTTGCTACTTAGCTTGATTAAAGAAATAACACTTCGTTACTTCGTTCAGTCGATATGGTATACATTGATTTTTATATTGACAATCGTTTCTTTATGTACGCTACGTTCTTTTAACAGTGATGACTCGTTTAACTGATATACTTGAACTTTCGTTCGTCTTTTTTTTTAAGATTTTCTCCGTACGTGACGTTCAAAATTAAAGCGCGCACGCGGGTTTTCAAGACTCATTTTTCTTACGATTCTCGTATAACGAGAATACAACCGCGAATAAAGCACGCAAAAAATCATATCTCTGCAGCGACAGCCTCGCGAAAGTAAACATTCCAATCAAGAAAACAAAAAAAAGTCTTGAGAACAATAGGTGTCGCGTTTTTACATGAAATAGCTGGTGTATTCGTGCGGCATGACACCCCGTCGCGGATAGAAAGTGTGGCTAGTGGAGTAGCACAACAGGTTCGTGATCGAGCTCATGTAGATGTCGGCAAAACGAAAGAGCCGCCTCGAGAAGTAAGTGGGATTGTGATAGGTACGAAAGACCGAGCCGAACTGTTGGTTAAAGACTCGTTTGATGTCCTGGCGCAATCGATCGCGCTCTTGAATCCAATCCAGCAGCTCGGCTTCCGCTTCCGGTCCGTCCACGTTCTGATGATCCTCGATTAAGCAGGTTAACATTTGCAACCAGTTCGCGTCCAGCTTGAACTTCGGGTCGTTCAACGTCTCGATCTCGTGCTGCAAGAGGCAGAGCGAATTTATTTGCATTTCAGCGTGGGCGACGACACCATTTAAAGATTTTCCAGCACGATTTTCGCTGCTGACTCGCCAGTGGAATTTGGCCGAGGATCGAATATTTCGTCGACTGTAAATTGCAATTTTGTTGGATGAACGTTTGGCTTCGAAGTCTTTTGAAAACGTTTGCGCTGAGATCTTGAAATTTGGCAAGAATTCGCTGTCAAAAGATTGCTCTGTCACAGCTCAGTTAATTTACAGCTCAGGTTTCTCAACGCAAGTCTAAATATAAAAAGATACCGTTCCGAAAAACAAGACCACCAATCAAGCGACAGCCAAAATCCTCTCGATTGAAAGCAAATCTGGAAACTCACCGCGAGCTCCTTAATGATGGCACCCGTCCTCCATCCATGCTCGAGTGTAACATCGGCCAAGTCGCTGTAGGGATGGTCACCGAAATACAACACCTGATGTCCACGCCAACCTGTAGTATCTTGCAGTTGTTTTACTGTGCCCTCAAGGTAAATGACACCTTTCTCCAACTTGGTAACGCGGTCCCACAGCTGCGTTTCGTTTTTCTCGTCGTATACGCGTAGAGGCCGCGATTCTTCTGTGAAAAAACGTGGCTTTCGCGCCTGCACGATTACCACGTCGAAATACAATTTCCAATCGTCGCCAACCAAAAATCTCATACCCTTGTCCCTGTAAAAAACGAGACTGGTTGTTTTTGGGTATCGATTGTGTATTGATTTTTTTTTTTTTTTTTTATAATACTTACACGAAATGAAAAGGACTATTAGTGACGAGAAACATTTTCTTGTTGGCGTCTTGTAATCGATCGAAGAACTTCTTGAGATCTTTTGTTTGCTCGAGGTAATCCGAGACTTTCTCGGCTACGAGTTTGTGCATTACGGGATGGCAGCTTTGCACCGAGTTCTGCACAACAATTGTTACATTCATTTTCCAGTCGCGTAGAAAACTTTGACTCGAGATGCTACTTTGCTAAGAAGATATTTCTTTTATACCTTCACGTCTCTAAAGAGAATTTCAGGATGGAAATCGATGTGATTCTGGAGAAAGTACTCGGTGACATTGCAAAGTAGACCCATTTCCGGGACGGAGAACAGATCGGCTAACTGAACCATTTTAGTGTGATGTACGCCATCCTATAAAGCGTTCCTCATTAATTACCATTCATTTACGGATTTTCTTTTACAGCAAAGCATAAAAAGTCACACGGCAACTACAAAAGCTAGTTAGGACAACAGCCTGAAATCTGTTGTACTAACTAGCGAAGTTAGTAAACGAAACAAACCGATTCCCAATTATCGTTCGTGTGGGCATTGCACCAGAAAAAGAATGTATACCACAGCGGTTACAATAGACGTTAAACACTTGCGTTTATATTGTTCGAGTGCGGTTTAATAGCATCGTTACGCAATGTATTTCAATTGACAATCGTTTAAAAAGCCTATCGCGCGCAACGTTGAAGGCAGCTTTTGCAGCGTTTAAAATGAAACAGAATGTACAGATGATATCGGTGGATGTACATAGCGGCTTGCGTTGCTTGATGATGTGGCGCTACTTACCTTCTAAACTCGACAAACATAATAATCCATTATCAGCGCACGTGTCGATCGCGTAGGCCAAGACATGCAAACAGACATATAGTTCACATGACGGTGGGGATTAAGAAAAATTAACTTTAAGCTGGTGCTTTTTTCGAATAGAATTTCGTCGTCATTTCAATTAGTTTGAACGATGATACGCGAGCACGCGTGTGAAAAAGAAATGTGGGGGGAACATCGTGTGATACTGTAGACTACTTATAAGGTTTACTGTAGAGCGTGTGCGGGTGTGCTTGTAAGTGTGCGCGCGGGTATGTGCGTATCGCGAATTGGAATACTTATTTTGTCGATCTCGCGCAGAGCGTGGCTTTCGACGACTAGAGCAACAGAAAATGTGCGCTGTATCAACGCACTCTAGTGCAAAAAAATTTTCCAAACGTTATTGCAGTTCTCGAAAGCAGGATTCCTCAAGTAAAAACATTTTACATGACAAATGAAACCTTTGTTTCTTCGGTAGTGTCAATTGAAAATTGTTTTTCTTCGATTTGAGAAAAAAAAAGCGAAAAAAAAAAAAACATTGAAGAATTTGTTCACAGTGTTGAAACGCACGCGTCTATGAATTTAACAACAGTAAGTCTCCGATCAATGTCAATTGTCGAAAAAGAAGAAGAAGAGGACTCACGTGCGAATGTTTGTACGGAGTCTCAACATAAGCGATTGGAATTATTCGATTTTTGTACAATCGAAGTACTTCCTCATCGGGTACCGGATGCAAGCCTCTGTACACAGCGCCAAGCTGAATCTGAAGGAAACTATCGAGTTTCAACAGTAATCCTTTCTCGATGTCGTAATGCAAACCTCGCACTGCAAAGTCTTTGTTGTATTCCAGATCTGCGATGCCTTCGGGATACTGGGAAATTGAAATCGATTGAGTTCGATGATCGTCGAATGATCTCGCTCACAATGGACAGCTGACCTTGTATTTTTTGATGAGCATATCACGGCCTAAATTGTAGAGTAGATAATCCATGCTTGGCTTGTAGCAGGCGAGCGTGTAATCGTAATCGAAACCGTAGACTTGCACTTCCCTCAGGTCGAGTTCGTTGCAGGCGAATACTCCTTGTGGGTTCACATCTTGCGGCAATTTTTTCGCTATTCAGTTATCATGGGATCGATTAGTTCAATTCCAATTACAGTTCCTCGCACAATTCCAAAGCTAACTAATGCAAACGGGCAAAATTTGTGGCATCTTTCCTCCAATGCTTTGCCTAAACGAAATATAGTTGGTGCTCGAAAAAATCAATATTACGACTGATTAATTTTGGAGCGCTCTACCAAGCGGTTTCGTCATAAAAACAAATAAAAAAATCTAGGATGATTTTGAGTTTTTACCGGTGTTTATGTTCGCGTCGAAAACAAAATATTGTCCCAAGCCACAATCAAAGCTTTACCCATCAATTACTTTTGATATACGAAGACTAAATAAAAAAATCAACTACTGATATCAAGAATACGGAGACTTGATCAGTATGGATGATTTAAAATATTGACGTAAAATTTGGCGTAATCAGCAAAACTTTATACAACAATTCATTAAAGTTAAACTAAGAATTGTTTGGTTGTGACGCGTGCCAATATTTGGTTTTCAACGTAAACATAAACATTGGTGGAGGCTCAAAATCATCTTGGATTTCTTTTTATTATTTTTTTGTTTTTTGCAACCGCTATGGATGGAACGTTCCAAAATTGATCAGCCGCAATCTTGACTACAACATTTATCAATTCTAATCGTTTTAAGTACCAACTACGTTTCGTTTAAGCACAGCGTTGAAGGGAAGACGCGACGAATTGTTCCCGTTAGTTTTTCGTCCTACGAAACATTCATCTTCTAAGAAAGGAACAGAAATGATTGCAAACTCCCTTGGCGCGAAAATCTCGCTTCTCGCGCGTTATTCTCTCTAGCCTTGTCGGCAAGCCTGCAAACATCAGGCTCGCCTCACGCGCCACCTCGCCGCCACGGGAATGTCGCGGCAGTGTAGACGAGAATCGCATGTATGGCGAGTGCACGTACGCCTGTGTATCATAGACGAAGCTGCGCGCGCGCGCGATTGACATTGACCGTCGCGGCTCGCTCGGCACACGAGTAAGGGAACTATTTATACGCTGTACATGACACACGTGCGCCGGCGCGCAGCAAAGCAGCGTCGTTTCTACTTGCGACGGATGATCCCCCCCGTAGCGACACAGTTAAAACGACCGGGGACACACAACGCCGTTATTCACTGTGATTTTTCTCAACCGCTTATCCCGACGATCGATCGTCATTCCAATTCGGCGCCCTCGGTATGCGCGTGTGCCAGGTCGCGGCAGCAGCCGACGCGTTTGCCCGACGGGCGCGCGCACGTGTCGCAATTTCGCAGGTACGCGTACTCACACTTGCACTTTTCCATCATGAGCGCGTAGCTGCGTCGCATGTGATCTCGCGAAAGTTGATTGCAGGATCGCCCTGGCGATTCTGTGTACAAACGCTTTGCTGCCCATCGCTGGAGCGAGCGGCCGTTGCCGCCGCCGCCGCCGCTGCTGTTGCTGCTGCGGTCGACCTTGCTTAACAAACACTTGCTCGCCCGCGCAAACCACATGATGCCGGGATGGCGCTCGACTGCGGGGCAATCCACGGCGATCGCGCTTACGACAAAGTGTCGGCGCGCGCACGCGTTCTATCAGATATATATGTAAATTATTTTAAGTTGGGGAGATCAGAGGCAACGAGAGATTGCTAGATTAACGACTGAAGGTATGCGCGCGAGTTGAGCTTGCGGTGGGCGAGCTTGCGGCTTCTATGGTTACACACTGTTTGGACGTTCGTTTGCTAACCGCCAAGTTCAAAATCCAAATTATTTGCGACAATTGGGCATCGATAGCACGTCAAACCAATTTTTTTTGGCAAGTCGCGGGGGCACAACTCGCCAAAATAAGCCCTTAACCTAACCTTGTTTGGTGCCATCGATGATCAATCATCGAAAATAATTTGGATTTTAAACTTCGCGGGTTGCAAATTAATATTCGAGCGGGGCGGAGTATAGGTGGCTTGTGCATGGCGCGATGGGTTTGATTTTCAAGTTGGAAAGTGTAAGTAGATAAGACGGTTATAATCTGAAAAGTGCGCACTATAAGTTTTGATTGTAACGTTAAAACTTTGAATTCAAGGTCCTGTGATGGCGTCATTTGAAGAGTTTATTGAAATGAAGGAAGTTAATGAAATAATACCATTATTACAGTAGAAAATATTATTTATTCGCGAAGTCGATATATTTGTTTCCGATTTAATAGACTTACATAGTTGTATATTTTTATAGCAGCGAACTATATTATCGACATAATGTCAACATTATTAACTCAAAAAAATGCTACTAGAAAGACAAATAATATTTGTAAATAAATTTACGATTTCTTGCTTTCTCAGTGAGAGGAAGGAAATGTAAGGAAAAAAAATAAAAATATTAAGATCAAACGCGGGAGAAGTGCATAAATTAAATAAACTTTTAGTCACTAAATTTAGTTAACAACGTTTCGTCAGCAATTTTGCTAATCTTGTCAGGCTGTTCGTTTGAAGAGTAAATATATATGTAAGCTAGAGAACGTAACTCATTTGCAGTCCAACTATGAATGAAATGATGAAAATATTAACTATGAAAATCATTCATAGTTGGACTGCAAATGAGTTACGTTCTCTAACTTACATATATATTTACTTCTCAAACGAACAGCCTGACGAGGTCAGCAAAATTGCCGACAAATCGTTGTTTACTAAATTTAGTGACTAAAAGTTTATTTTATTCACTCACTTCTCCTGCGTTTGATCTTAATATTTGCAATTTTATTAAAAACATGGAGAGAAACGCACATAAAGTGGAGGAATGAAAAATAGTAAAAGGAAGCTTATTACATAAAATAACGCGCGTTATGCTCTATCATTGTTAGCAGCATTTCGCGTAACAAGTATTATATATTGCATTATAATTTGCTGAAACTTTACGGGATTATTTCATGAATGTATTTCTACATAAAAATTTGAAAATTTTTCTAATGCGCTATAGTTGTATTTTAGGTTTTTGATGAAATCTTATTACTTGTAACTATCAAATATCAATTTCAAGTAATTATCTTTCACTTTTTATCAAAATATGAATAACTCAAATTGAACATTTCTGAGATTTATAGGTGCCATTTCAGTGACAATGTCGCACAAGTTATCTTACGTCATTTAGTTCAATTAGTTCAATTGCACGAAAACATATTGTTTGAAAGAAAAGATATTAAAGAAATAAAAAAAAAAGCAATTGTACAGGTGTGAACGCCAATTTTAATAATTAATATTTTCTTTCTTCCGCATCATAGTTATATATAATTTCATCCGATGCTTATAATTCTCAGACATTTCAATAACGCGAACAATCTCAGAAATCTTCGACTCCCAAAGTTTACCTCACCGCGTAAATTCGCGAAACCAGTATAAATGAAATCGACGATGAAAGTTCGTAATATTCGCGTAAATCGGGGAAATATCAAAACGCATTAACAAGTTTTCGGCAGGAATCTCAATAAAGACCGTTCTCTCGACTGGCTAATCTACTTTCATAAACTCTACTCTTACTCCCCCTTCAGCAAAACTTGAAATCCATTTCCCTCGCGGGCGCGCGCGCGCGCACACACACGCGTATATATCGAAGTACAATGCCAGCGGGTGCAAACAGACTCACTCAATTGCGTAGAGCCCTTTACTTATGAGCCTTTTCGCATTATGCTGATTTTCATACCATTCCCACTGAATACTCTAATGGCGAACTTCTTTTGCAGCAGTTAGACGGCTGTCGACGCGATTGAACATATATAAAAAAATCTCGAAACTATTAACATAATCGATATCCAGACTACACCCTGTTTTTTTTCTATATGATGTTGGCACTCCGAGTTGAAGCGCTGTACGGTCTTTTTACCTTATCCAAGTTTTTCTTCGTTTTTAACATTTCGTTTAGAAATCAATGAAGCGACTACTGTAATCGATAGTATTAATGATATATTGTTTAATGTGCTTTGTCTTCGTTTTATTTCGAGCAAACGTTTCAGTAGTTACAGGCGAGTTTGGTTAGGCTCATACAATTACGTATTCGTGATGTAGAAAACTCGCGTACATCCAAAATCCTATTACTCATTTCCCATCGAAAGTTTTACTAATGAGATGGTTATATATATATTCAAATGCTACATACATACTGATCCTGTTTCGCCAAAACACAGTAAAGCATACACATACAAACATACATACATATATATATCGATACGTACAAAGAAATTAGTGATATCAATCAGTCTCTTTTCAAGTTTGCAATTAAGAGCAGTTAAAAAAAAATTAAAAAAAGTCTGAATGAAAGACCCTTCAGTTTGAACTCGTCAATAGTTTTTAAATGCATGAAGTCATAGAGGGAGTCGACAGCGTCGCAACTCAGCGCACGACAATATCCTCGTCAAACTGTCACGTGTATGTAAAAGCAAACGATCCATAAGGATTCTGGGTCAAATTAACGAGCGAGAGAGAGAGAGAGAGAGAGATATGAAAAAAAGTCTTTATGGATCGTTTAATGATAATAGGAAGCATTAATTGACTGGCTTCATCGATTTATATCTTGATGATTCTTTCGAGGACATCGAGAGTGATTGATTTCTAGACACAACGAATAGTTTTGATATTGGAGTTTACATGTACGCTTCGCCTGATAATCGATAGATCGACTCGCGACACGATGACCTTTATTGCATCAATTATCCGTTCTCACTAAATCAATGATCCACTCGATTGGCCGAACAAATCGACTCGCTGGCTTTCCTAAACAATCAAAGGTTCAACTCCATACAAATAAATTATAGTCCCCGGCATTAAATCGTCGCAATAAACTCGTCAACGTCGCGGCAATCGTTGGAAAGACGCACACGCGCATGTACGTTGCCATTTATGCGAATCACTGCGCGTCCAGGACATCAAATCGAAAGAAAGAGGAGAGAGGAAAAAGATGAGCGATAAGCCTCGCGGCGCGCATCTTGGCATCGAGACTCTCAGGTAGCGGCATGACCCAATTGCCTAATCCAGCGGTGACTTTGCCATTCAGCCGCGGGCCCCTCTTCCCAGCACCGTATCCTTTTTACTCAACCTTATCTTCTCGAGTCAATTTACTTTTTTTCGAAGTTGTTTTCCGCTGCTTTCTCGCTGTTTACTTTCAATAGGTTATTAACGAAGTTCAATCGCTATGATTGGATCAGCTCAATGCAACTTTTTGCTACATGAATTTGTTGTTGCTTTTATAAATACGAGTATCCAAAAATCTATAAATATTACGATTAGAAGGAGACAACAATTTTATTGTTATATGCATTTCACCAAATAAATAATATTTCGTTTTTTATTAGTGGTGCGAGTCTACAAATTATTCAAGAAAGGTAACCAATTTTAATTCTTTAGCGTTCACTTTAACTATACCTCATCGTTTGTTGACTATATAAATGCGATATAAAATACAACTGAAGTTCTTATTTACGTAAGTATACAGCGACTTAATTCTTTTTTATTTTCTTCCTGATTATTGGTAATTATGAGGGTCAGTATTTTATACCGATTTCTTCTTGACATTACGTAATGAAAGGCATCCCATTTTACATCTTTTTTACAGCTTCTCAATTGAAAACATCATGTCCTTTAATTCGGTACATGTTTATTTCAATACTCAATATCAATTCCATCTTGCATGTTTAAGCGTTATATTTGTCTCGAACAAATTGTATTTCTAGAATACATAATGAATTGTGTTCTGAATAGACGCTATTTATTATAATATTATAATTTATTATTACCGTGTTGAGAAATTGTGATAGTCATGACAAATATTATTATTCTTCATTTTACCTCAGAATTCTCGATATTTAGAGTCATTTTACACATTTAAATCCGTCCAATTTCATGAAATTCAACCCAATGCAATTTAATAATGAACTTTTGCAACATCTATCTAATCTACATACACGACAATATTATATCGCTGTATAAAATATTCGATCGAATAGAGGTAAAAGTGTCACCAGCAAATAGGTAACTACATTTACACGGCTAAGACGAATGAATAGGTCGGCATCTATGAATTTCCTAGCGCGAATCAACATAACTCGCGGAAAACGCACACGAAAACAGGTGTAACATATTCTCGCGCACGTAGACTTGTAAATTTTACGAGGCTCTTTCTCTCTCTCTTTCTCTCTCTCTCTCTCACTCGTGAAATGGTAAAATTGCGAAATTTATTGCTGCATCTTAATTACGCTGAATAAGTTGCCTTTTTTGTGTGGAGATTTTCATTCACTGCGAGTGTCTTCGTCGTAGTGCGTCGACACGCTTCGTCAATATCGCAAAGCTTTGTTCGCTAGATGAGTTGTGATTCCGGATGGTAAGCCAGAAATTGAGCACATATATTTAGTGTAATGAATGTGAAATCTTAAATTTATACGCCAAACCATTTTCTAATAAACGTCTATTTTTTTCATATCTAATAGATCGATTAAAGTCTACTTTGAGCTCGTTATAATCATGTTTATTAATAGCCACATGTACGAACCAGTTTCGTCGCATGCAAGCATAC